CGTAAATCGAGTGTACACCAAACTGTACATATCACATATACTAATTTGTGCACCATCTTTCCATTACGTTTTACTACAAAAACCGCTTTCTCATATGATTACTTTGTAACATTCAAGCTTCCAGAGTTGCTTGGAGATTGTCTTGTAGTTTCCATTCAGCTAGGAAGCATTTGTCAAAATATACAGAATCGTAAATATAAGCTAAACAGCTTCTGCATAAAGAACTGATTTTGAAAAATGAGACAACTTTTAAAGTTTTTCATATCACTTTATCAAGTAGTGAACACATTTTATTGTTGTCATGATAGAAATTCAAAATGTATTGGGAAATTCTTATGAATTTTAGGCGTTGAACATCTTCAGCTTACGTCTTAATAACATCAGCTGGTAAACGTTTACAAAATGAAGTTCTAATCTTGTGATCAATGATACTCATTACCAAACACTGACATAATTCACCACTTTATTCACACAATAAGTTAATTTCGTTATGTGTTTACTTTGGATTTTATTAGAATGAATTGTGCTAGGGTAGATTTTACTTAGTTAACAACATTTGGCAACAGTACTGAATGCATTTTACAGAGCAGTGTATAGTCATTCGATTTCTTATGGCTATGGTGTCTAGAAATCCTAATTCGAACTGTTGTTTGTTTGGATATTATATACAAAATCTGACCAAAACTATCATTATAAAGATTTTGTTGCATTGATAAAGAAGATAGCTAGCATTACTAGATGCATAACTGTCCAGCAAAAGTGACTACCCTCTACACTACATGTGGTTGGATAATTTTTAGTGGCCATAAATATAGTTCTAGAACATTTCTCTTCTCAATGTCGAATATTTAAAGGATCGTAACTGCTTTATTTTATTCGATGACACCGTTAATATATTTGTGGAGAAGAATTATATAAAAATATCACTTACCTGTAGACAGAATATGTTTACTGGGAATATGTAAACGATTCGCGGGAAGAATAGAAATTTTCGATTCTTTCTCCGTTGCTGAACTTGATTCATTTTCTTTATCAGGAGAAAAAGGTAAGGAATGTTTCAAAGAATCTTTCAGACTATCTAATTTTTGTGTTGATCTTGAAGATTCTGAAGGAGTATTATTCACTAAAATTTTTGGTGGGGAATTATCTCTATTGATCTTTCTTACATTAAAAGCTCGCTCCGAAGTATGTTGCATATCTGAATGAAACAGTGCGAAATACCTTCAGTAATTTTGTTTGCCTGTCATTACCACTAACATGTATGAAACGAAATAGTTAACTTTTTATGTTTTGAATAAGTGTGTATTTAACGAAAACATATTTCATCACACGATTTTCTATGATTATAACTTCCATGTTAGATTTAATTATTCTGACTGAAGCTTTGTTATCAATTTGTTTGAGGCTTGATCTTTTTGCTGAATTATTTGGTAATTCATTAGAGAGGTTTATCGAGCTAAGTTTAGCAACCAGGTGGAAACCACTGAAAACCAGAGAGATTAAGTAGTTATTTCTTCTTAGAATGGGACTCGCCCACCATAACTCAACGTAGTGATCGATTCCATGATCTTTAGATTTCCCGACGAGCACTTTACTTTTAGTTCAAATTTTGAACATGAAAGTGTTATTAATATACATAGTAATTATGGCTAATTGTATAACACCAATCCGTGTTTACAAATGGAATTTTCGAAAAGATGCTTAAAACTATCTACACGTCCTAGTTCTACTTGAGTAGCGGGTAGAAATGGGATTCAGGTTACATGTTGCATTTGAATGTTTTTTAATCGTAGAGTTGATGTTCACAATAACATTAGAACGTGCGTCAAAAGTCAGAGCACTTTCGAGTTCAATTCTGATTCTTAACAATAAAAAAATGCAAATTTCTACAAATAATATTGAGTATAAGTCTCAGTGTGATTATCAACACTAGGTATCATGTACATTTACCTATTGAGTCTTAAGTAAGACTATCATTAAGCTGTTTAACGAACCAGATCCTAATATCTCATACAACAAATTTCTTCTAAAACAATTTTTTTCAATATTTACACGAAGTGTAAACAACCAAAATAATTCATTATTGTGTGCCAAAATATTTCTTATCGAAAAGAATAAAAAGAAGGTATCATAATAAAACTTACCATTTGAATTTCTTTCAGCTGGTGTTTTCACATGAATACCCATGCTCTCATTATTTGTAAGGCTTGGCTTACTTGATTGCTTTCGAAATACTGAGCTTCGTGGTGTAGGTGTATAAGCACCAGCAATTTCAAGACCATATGAGGAGTTTGTTTTTTTCACTGATTCATATTTCATTCCATATGCATCAACTTCAGGAGGGTTTTCCTCAATTCAGAACATAATGTAATTGAAATGTCTCAAACAATATTCTATCTTATGAAATAAGGAATTTTTTATTTTAAATGGTTGATTAATACAATGTTAACTAAAGCAACTTTGTTAGAGATGTGACATTCACATGAAAAGATTTCAATGATCGTAGTACCATATTTATACACTGGATTACTCTCATAAATACAGTTTTGGGAATAAAATAACAGACGTCCAATAAATCCTCATAATTTCAGTCACAGTACATATTAACCGGCTTTGCTAGAAAAGACTAGCATATTTTTTAATGTTTATGAAATAGCTGAGATTATGTTTGCATTCTAAACTATTCAGATCAATTTGCTTCTGGTTCAGCAGGTAGACAACAAGAATACAATCAATATAAGGTAAGTCACTTTGTATGTTTCATGTACATGTGTAATCTAATAGTATGGTCAAGGCCTCAGTAATGCAATTACATGGCTAAATTAACTGTCAACAACCAGCCATCGAAAACTGTTATGGACCATTATGCCACAACTTGAACAAATCATCAGCATCGATTACAACCGAAATATATCCTGAATACAAGTGTTGGATTAAAATGCCATATCATTCTAGGTAGCCAAGACAGAAAAAAACGTTTTTTCCTGCCAAGTAGCGTTTTCACTCCAGTTAACAACAAACATGCAACATGAAATTCATTTCTATAAGATTATAATAATCCACTAGCTTATAGTAAAAAAAACTGATTACTGTAGTTAGTTTCTAAATACGTCATTGAATCCTGACGTCGAAGCTTGGTGAATAGTGTCAGAATTAGCCAGAAGTTTTCAATAATGACAAAGGTGGAACTCAATCTTAGATTATTCTCCCTCCCCATCATCTTCAAATAATTAAAGTGTATCATACATCTTGTTTCAGTAAAATATCTTAATCGTTTTGAATTTCGGGTAACAACACTACATGTATGTGAATGGCGGCACAGTAATATTGACGGGCGTTATAGTTACACATAGATTCTCAAACCTCTCAGGTAGAGTTAGTTTAAAATAGCTCCCTTATTTACACACATTCTTGCTCATGCACCTTGACTATTCGACAATTAATCATGAAAACTTGCATTACTCGCTACATACACATTAACTAGCATAGTGAACGCATCTCATATGATTGATATGGCTGTTTTTTTTCAGATGATTCTATCGTAATACTTATCTGAACACCTTATTTTTGTTATTTCAGGGGTATTGGTTTTTGTATGTAGTTATATCCGGTTATTCATTTTTAACTTACATACAGCTTACATAAGACCGTTTGCAAAAAAATGCAATGTTTCCACTCAGTCAACGACGAATGATGATGACAGTAATTCTAGATTTTAAGGTTGTACCACTACAAGAAGAATGAAACGTTCTATAGAAACTAGAAGAACTTCTTTGAAATTATCTTGTGACTACAAAACCTGATAGGCTTTGATGTGAACAGAGAAACAATAAGCCTTGACAAACTGCGGAAGCTATTTTAGGGACGTCATTTCATTTAATTCAAAGCTTGTAAAACACTAACATTTATCTTTGTCCCCAGTCTATTCTACAGATCATAAGCTTTCGTTTCACTGCCATAGCCATTTTTGTTCCAAAGCTATTGTAATTGAAACGTATTACTTTGTACTTTATTTTCTACTCTAATCCCCAGTTTTGGACATCGTATTTTTTTAATTACTGTACGTTGCGGTCGGGTTAGTCATTTATTCATGTACCTTTTTACACTGATCTGAAATTGGGAACCAGATCGGAATTGAGAATAAATCGAGTAGTGATTCACTCGACTTGTCTTCTCTCACTCGCGTGCCTGTCGGCCAATCAGGTGGTGGAATAGTTTTCTTCTCTCTACCCTACTTCGAACTCACGCGTACTAGCCTCAAGGTTAAGCCGGTTAGCCTATCGCGTCAAGGTATTAATCTAGATTAGACAAGTTATCTCAGCACCAAAAGTGGGTAGACAGATCAAGAACGTGACAGGCTTCTTACTATTTCTTAGATGTTCACTAGTAATGATGTATGAATTCAAACAGAAACGTTTACCAGTTGGAACTGAAGGCTCAAATAGCTATTTAATTCAAATAACTTCACATGTGTTGCTAGGATCTTTAAGCCGAAGTTTTTGTTAGAAATGGGTAGATAAGAGAAAATAGAAAAACTAAGAAATTTTCCCCAACTATTCATTACATATATTTCTGTTGTGTTTATCAATATAAGAACTAATTGATTTAGGATATTTTACATAAATCTGTCAGCTTGCATTTAACACAGTAACTATGTTGATATATCTTGTACCATCTATAGATTATAGTCAGTTAATTATTCAGTGGGTAGATGTGACATATAAGAACGTGATTTTCACTGGGGGTTTCATTTCAGTCATCAAATCTATCTACATGTATCACCATTGTAGCGCATACCAACTTACCTAATTAAAAAGTAAACAAACTAAAAGTTAGAGTTTAAAATAAAATCCTGGATGAATATTATGCCCTTACATACAGCATCCACTCACTAAATAAACAGAAAAATGCTTGGAAATGCTCGACACCTCACATATATCAGACACTTATAAATGGATTTACTAAGAATTCACAGACATGGATTCCATATTATCAAGTACTTTATAATCACCAATATTTTGATTAAAAATTCCTGTTTACCATATACGTCTTAGTTATTTAGTTAAAGTCTTTTCCATATACTTTAGTTTAAACTATTAGAGTTCTAACCTCAGACTAATATAAAAAATAACTTATTGAAACAAAACTTCTTAGACGTATATCATAAGTTCATACTATGTTATTGTATTGCTTACTTGAATCCATATCTTATATGCATTTTTTATTGCAGGTAATTGCCAATCTCTTGAATTGGAATCCACCATAGAAATTAATTCATCCCATGTTTCATCCAAACGATAATCTAATATTCTAGGATGTTTTATTTCTTTGACATTTTCTTGATGTAAAAAAATTGAAAGATCTTTTATGATTTGTTCACTCATTTCAACCCACGAATAATAATCATACTGTTTTAAAATTGATTTTTTATTTATTAATTGTTCTTTTGGATTTATCGTTTTTTCTCCTGTAGATGATAATGTTATAGGACGACTAGTATTCTTTGTGGAACTACAATTATACTTTATATCATTTGATAACTGGTCATTTGTATTACTATTAATTAACTCCGCATTCTCTGAATGTAAATGAATAGTATTAATGTTATACACCAATGATTTTTTATATTCTTTAATTTCCTGCCTTACTGGTTTAACTTGATCAAAAAAGAAACATGATGGATTATTCTTATGGTACATGTTTTAGTATTCTAATGAAAATTAAGTATAATTTTGTTTAGATTCATTTTTCACACTAAATCTAAGGTCACTAACCATACTGCAAGACACAGAATATAAACGCTTATAGATTAAATCGAATTTAATCCATTGACAACGAATGCACTGAGTTTCTAGAAAAGGTAAATATAATTGGTTATTTCAATGGTACAAATATCTACAAACGTATACATAAATATTAGAATATAGTATACAGAAACAGATAATGTCCAATAGGTAGTTAGTCTTGATTTGTCCCCAATCAACACAAATAGTTCTCTAATTCTATAATATCTATGACAACAATATATTATGACTTTTATGTTATGAATAATAATAAAAAGAGGTGACTCAACTGGATATCGGCATTGTAAACTGTTAGCCAATAAGGTAGATTTTGATTTGAATCATTAAATTTGATAGTTTGCTATGTGGTTTAACCCATGAGCCTGAATCATGCAATCATTTTTTTAATTAGAAGTTTGATTTGATGAAAAGTGTGTATGTAGATGTGTATTTCTTCTAAGCAATACTATTTTGTTGTTAGAAATTAGATATTTTCTTTTGTTATTCCTATGATGTATTAAAACGTGAGTTACTGGGGAAAAAACCTAATTAGTTGTCTTACAAGTTTGTCTAGTGCAATCTTTGCGGTAATTCCATTAGCTATCCACTCGCTGATGTCACAAAATACCTCCTTTGGAATACAACTATTGATGAAAGTCTTGTTTTATTTTTATCGCCAAGAAATCAAAATAGGTATTGATTCATATATATTAGCCACGTTTAAATAAAGTGAATTTGTATGGTTTTGAGGTGGCCTCAAGTGGTTATATGAGAAGAAATATAATCTTTTATGTCAATGAGAGTTAATGGCTTTGGACATTTCTTAGAAAGTAATTTATTAATAATAGGTAGAATATCTTTTAGAATGTTAATATAATTAGAGAAATTCTTCAACACTCATTTTATTTTCAAGTGCTTGGTTGTCCTAATACTCAAAATAGCCTATAGATCATCAGCTTAGCTTTCTACCAACAGAGTTAAGAGATAATCCATATCTCAACTTCACTTGTTAAGTATTTCGGCTAAAAGATTACTCCCAGATTTTTCTAATTTCTCGAAGTTATGCAATAGGAATTAAATGCCTTTTATTTAGAAATCGTAGGATTTAATGTATGTCCACTTGTTCTAGTAATTCGTCAACAGTGATAGCAAATAAAATGGTATGGCGTCACTTTTACTGAATAACATCTTCAAGGAGCTATTAGTAGAAATAAATTATTTTTTTATGTAAAGATTTCCGTAAGATGTTACAATTTCTTTGGATCCCTGCGTTGGTTCTCAATAGGATACATACATGGCATTTTTGGTAAAATAAACAGTTATATATGATTCTTACTTTCCATGATGGTTCGACTTCCAACAATAACAGACAAAATCCAAATTGTATTATTTTCACTTTTGTAGACTACCTTATTTCAGATTTATACCATATCATAACCCTGAGATCTAAATATATTCAAGTGTGATGACTGACACTAGTGCTCTCCTAGTCAATATAGGTTTGCTGAGGGGGAATGTGGTATTGCCAATCAACTACTCTATGATTCATTTCATTCGGACGTCAAAAAAAGATACCCACGGAAATGGTTGGCCACTATATCAGGCTCCGAATAATTGTACAATAACCTTTAGGTTAGTTTATTATGTGTCAATGCTACATAGTTGCCAAAGCTACTGTAGTTTATGTTGTGTTTGATTACAAGCAACACTTACAATTTCGCGCTATCTTGTTTTCAGTATTGTTGTATGTGTTCGAATCATTCACTGTCCGAGTATGTTAAAAACATTCATATGTTGATAGTCTAGTCGATTTTCCAGGAATAACGACATTCCAACCCACACGTAAGCCGACTAAGATCCTAAAATACCATCACTTATCGGGTTTTTATTTAATCACGTGGTAATTAAACTCAAAGAGGGTTATGGTTACCGTGACTGCTATTTGCACTAACCATTTGGTTAGGAGGTAAATATTGATTAAGGCGTAAACATCAAACACTTCAGGATGCATAAATCTACAAACTGATTCGACAAATAACTATGAAAACTAAATAAGTTCAAAGATTCATGGGTGGAAAACAGCCTGATACGCTAAAACATCAACACTAAATGTAAATGTAAAGAGTTTGTCGCAGTAATTTTCTGTACACTATTGTTGTTAAATATGCATTTATTGAAGATAATTCCCTCTAATTTATGAATATCACATTTTCCTGAGCATATTTTTTATTTACCGTTATTAGATACAAAATCACGCAAATTGGCGTGATGAAATTCCACTTTTCAAACTTGGATTTTTATAACCGTGATCAAACAAACAACTAAAAAAATTGAAAAACCCACTAAATCAGCAAAACAATTAGCTTCGCTTTCAAGATAATTAATACCCTAGTCAAAACCACAAGCATGTCACATCATGTTAAGACTAAGTACAGCCATTGGGTGAAGTACAATATTGTTCTGATTGCTTAAACCAAATCTGAAATACTTATTTTGGCCAATGGAATCTGTCTATTTAGTTATCGATCCGTCTAGGTATTCGGCCAATCGGAATTTTCTAGTTTGAAGGTCATGATTAGCGGTCATTCGACCGGTAGCTTGTAGTCATCATGGCAAGCTTGTTTAGGAAAGGAACAATTTCCAAGGTAACCTTAAACGTTTCGATTTTGGCATTTAATATTTTTGTTTTGATGGTCCTTATTCCTCATTCTACCTGTGTATGCTCAGTAAATCCTTCACTGTTTATCAATATCCTTGTCAACTTTTTTGACAAAATATTGTGAAAAATAGGGCTATCTTTAGTTTGGTGGCGAGACTAATCAAGTATATCAGGTCTCGAGTTCTAGCGCGAAACTCATCCATTTGGCTAAATAGACTTTCGGCATTATAGCTGATTTCAGTTCGTGATGAAAACAATAAATCAAATTCCTAACCGTCAACTGTAAATCATAATTCTAATTCCTCACACTGGTGTATAACCCTCATTTAGTCTTAGTTATTAAGTGGAGACTCAATGTCATTTTAGCGTCGCTCAAAGGTTGTCCATAAACTAGTCTCACCAGTTCGGCTTCTTGTTTTAGTTATTCTATGCTGTTAGTTTAGCCATGCATTACCCCTCACATCATAGAAATCCGCCCGTGTCTTAGAAACCCGACTTTTAAATGGGCCTCGTACGATTCGTGCCTGCTCTTTGTTTACGATTTCGGATTCACAATATTTCTGCTGGCTTTGCATCCTCCCCGATGACCCTTCAAAATTTTCATCTAGTTACCATAACAGAAAATCTAGGAAATGATTCAATATTCCAGATTCAGATCAGATTTGTGTAGTAAGGACAGAAGGCCTACAACCTATGTTATTCCTTTTCTAGTATGCTTCTGTGAGTGTCCAGTCTTCTCTTGAAAGAGTCAATTGAAGGTGCGGACACCACTGCTTCAGGCAGCAGGTTCCAAATATTGATGACTCGGTGTGAAAGCCTGTATCCCACGGGTATTTTGTTCGTTCTTGGCTTTTCTACTCGCCTGCTATATCCTCTGAGATGTCCCGATCTTGTGGGAAAAAAAGAGAGAATAAGGTCCAAAATCATTTCTCAGTATCCTGCAAATCAAAATTAGATCTCCCCTTAATCTGCGAGAGGACAGAGTAAAGAGGTCCAGCTTTTCAAGCCTCTCTTTGTATGGTAAATCCCCGAGTTCTGGAATTGCACGGGTAGCTACCCTCTGTACTTTTTCTAGGATATCCGAGTCATCTTTTAAACAGGGGCTTGCAGCCTAAACGCACTTCTCAAGCTTAGTTCTCACTAAAGATGCGTATATTGTGGTGATCATGGTAGTATCTAACTTAGTGAATGTCCGTTTTAAATCCCAGAGGGTTCGAAACCTACTAGCTGCGACCTTTCGGCAGTGGGCCGTCGTCTTAAGATCATGACTCACTGTCACCCCTAGATCCTTATGAGACCACGGGTAATGGCACTTCCCCTATGTTGTACCTATAAACCATTGAATTCTCAAAGTGCATGTAGACACACTTTGCCGCCTTGATAGGCATCAGCCACTCTTTAGACCAGTTAATAATATTATTTAGGTCTGCCTGAAGAGCACATGCGTCTGTGTCTCCAGTTATTACTCGCCAGATCTTTACATCGTCAGTGTATAATAACATTGGAGATTGTACTATACTTGGAAGATCATTAACATACATTATAAAAAGTAAAGGACCTAGGACAGAACCTTGAGGTACCCCACTAAGTACTGGTCTCCAGATGGGGCACTTGGAATTGGTGGGAGAAAAGTCATTTGACCAACGTCATCACCGTGTGTGAAGACTAAATCTAAAAGAGAAGAGTTTCTTAAGTCACATCTTGTGGGGTTTCTAATGTGTTGGAATAAATCTAATCCATTCGAGGCTTCTAACAGTTTGCAATCGGACGACGTTATCGATGACCCTACTTCTAAGTTAACCCAGTTTATATACGGTACATTAAAGTCGCCTACTACAAGGCTTTTACCCGTGTTACACCAGGACTTAAGTTTACTTAGGAGAAAATCATCTGCTACACATTCTGTACTGCGATATACTACAAGTAATTCTATATCTTGCCGTCTACATTTCAGCTTACATCACACCAGTTCACATATCCCTGAAACATGTGCCACTGTCTCAGCTACTCCTATAGTTAGGGCACTTTTCGTGTACAGAATAACCCCGCCTCCCCTACGGTTTAATCTATCAGCCCTACTGGTTAAAAAACCAGTCAACTGAATTTTATTATCTAATACTCATTTTTCTCCATACTGAAGTCCATTTATCATCACTCAGGACAGCCACACCGGAACTATTTGGGACGGTGACCGTTTTATCCGGGTCTTCAATTTCCACAAGAGGTGTATGATTACCGATGTCAATATCAAGCGGCACTTCACTCGTTAATATTAACTGAGATTTCACTTTCCTGTCAATCACAGTCGGGTGTTTAGCGGGTCCGGTAGCAGCACGTACTACACTGACACATTCTTCACCATCAGTACTCGTGTTATCAGCGCAACCGCCATAGTTTTTCTTACAGGCCAAAGCCAATAGGCTCAAAGCCTCCTGAATTAGTAACTTCTTATTTGTAAAGCAAAACGTAAAAAGCTAATGCAAGTTAAGCTTCGAGCATCTTTTGTATGCCGTAGGACTTAGACGTGTACACATCTTATGGTACCACTTTGTACATTAATCGTACTGCATTCCTTCCTCAACGGGGAACAAGCAGTTTGGTTGTCCATATTTATAAGTCTTACTAATCATTGCAATTTGATTAAAAAGGTTTAAAACACAATGTGAACACGACTGTCAGTCAATGAGTAAAAAAAGGTACCACAGGACAAAGTTTAGCAAAAATTTCAAACCTTAACTAAAGTACTTTTAGTTAAAGTAGACCAAGAATGCTTTTTGGTGCAACAAGTACACAGAGCAAGGATAATCACGACAAGTGCAAAAATCACTGCCCTTTTTAAAACGAGCGCGGTATCCGCTGGGACTTCTTAATATGTTATCTTGGAATGAAGTATCTGGTGTGAATAAGTACGATAATCGGCCTACTAAGTACCAATAGTTCGATAATTCTGCTCAAGTCCAATGATACCATACATCATATTATGTAACCAGAGTGTTATCAGGACCGCAATAATATGCAAAATAAATTATTGATACATTCCGTCGTACCAATGTACGTTATTGAGATGATTCTAAGGGACAGGAAACCTCGATTGCAGTTCACGGCACTATTTTTTGACGAGTGTTAATCCAATAATTCGTAGTTTATACTGTATAGGTTGTCTAGCGAAATTTTATTTGGATTGTCAATCAAAAGTCAGTAGACATATGTAGAATTGCTATTCCAATAGGTTTTCTTAAAAAATTGTTTGGTAATGTTTCCAAATAATATGAGAATCTCTTTTTTCATTTACTCTACGAAAAATACTGTACTCATAGTTTCACAAAATTTTCTAATCACGTGCTGATATAATTAAGTATTAAGCGGTATAAAGAATAATCATTTGGTATTATTCCATGTCACACTACATCAATTCGCAAAATTGATTGGTAGATTGCTCTAAAGCACAGATGAGCAGCCTATCACTACATATTAATTTAAAACTTAAATCAGAGAAAGCAAACTTTCATCTTCCATGTCCCAGTTATCTTGGAATTTAAATCGAAAGTATTTCAAAGTCCCTAAACCCAAACTATCCGATCCAACCTTGCCACCGTTGCCACCGTCGAAAATCAAAAGTTCAGTAAGTCATTTTTGTAAAATTGTGGGAAACTGAAACGTAACATAAGACCCTGAAAATTTTTTATTACATGTATGGATATCTCAAGTCTAGTTATTCATTGCACGAACCACTTCGTTGATCCACATTCTGTTATTTGGTTGTTGAATGTGCATATAGTTAACAGCTTTCTCCTCTGTCAGCTCGTCTAATTTCGGCATCATGTATAGATGAACAAATTGTGACGTGAATTTTCAAATCGTTTTAATGACATCTCAAAGAGCTAAATTTTTAAACCATTCTAGCTTTCCACTGTCACTGATAGACTCAGTTGACAAGTACATACCACATACCTTTTCAGATTATATGATTTCAAGCAGATGAATTACATCACCTGACAACATTAGTGATTTTGTCCCGACCGTTGCTGCTACCTTAAGGTAGTGGTCGGGCTCGCTTACCGTGATGAACCTATCGGGCTACACTGGCTTGGACATTCGTTCCTCAAGGTCCTACCATGTCAGATAGGTCGGTTGAAGAGTGGTAAGACTAAATGCAACAAACCCAAGGTCTGAGGGCGAAACCGTACTGTTAATTGTACAGAGGTGTGACGGCAGTAAGGTGTTTCCTTCAGACAACCAGCATGAAAGCGATGCTGCTTATCTAAAAAAGAAGGGTAGAATTAGAAATGGTCAACCTTAACAATGCACACCTCGCCTTATCCGTTTCCGGTGGTAAGGTCTCGACCAATACGGGGCTAACACAAAAATTACCCACAAAAGGTCGTGTGAAACTGGCCTCAAGTCGTTGTCGCTTGGGCACTGCGGTTACACTGTCAGGTCAATAAGACGAACTCTAATCCAATTTCCTATCCAGGTACCCCTAGAAGAACCATTCCAGAGTGTGAGCAACTGGGAAGTGATAACTGCCCTCATACCTCTAACAGCACTCAAGACTGTACTAGTGATTTCGTACTTGTTTGAGTACCATCCTCTTAAGTGATTTTTTGTGTGATACATCGTTAGTTTTTACGGAATTGTTTTAATCTTAAAACTGTATTGAGTACTTCAAGCTAATACATTCAGTCTTACTAGAAAGCCTGGTACAAAAATTCACTAGGTTACCGAATCGGGTGATATTCACTCCATTTATTCCAAACAAACTGAAGCTGGTTGCAAAACTCAATATGCACTCTATTTTTGCTCAGTCTATAACATTCCAAAGGTGATATTCAGCAATTAAATTTAAGTAAAACTTATGGATACATATACGTGTCCAAACATTCTGAACATTTTCTTGTTCACAACTGAATTTGTAAATAATTGAAGCTTACGTACAAGTCCAAAAAAGTATTTGAGTATTCATTTGTTCCTTCCTAAAGTGTACTTAGATACCTTTCGGACTTGTCATTATTTTTCTATTTTTAGATGAGATCACTCATTTCATAAATTGCATAGTCTATTAAACCTCGCTAGCGTTGTAATTTTTCTAAAAGTTTCAGTCGTTTACATTTCTGTTGATCTATTTCATTGTCTTTATAATTGTTATATTCTTAAGGACCCTAAATTACAGCAGGATTTGGAACGTTATTATAAGATACGAGCTGCTGCCTGTCGAATTTTGTCGATCGCTCAGAATCCACTACAACGTCTTGATGCAGCTAAAACACTACTTGTCAGTCATGCACAGCTACTTAGTTGTATGCGATTAATCCAACGTGAAAAGGTTGAAGATGCCAAGCACGCGAACGGAACGCTTTCCGACACACGACTTAGAGAAGCTTCAATCCTTAATGGGACTGTTTTACGAAAATCGTGTTTCGCAAAGCCAGGCTACGCTCAATTGTGCTTATCAGGTATTCGTACCTAAGTTGATGCTTTCATTTTGTTTAAAGAAAAGTGACCAAAATCAACCTTGAGTTTAGCTTCTGTGTTTCATTCTACTTCCATGAATATTCATTAATCTGGTATTATTTCATGGGATACTTACTATCTTCTCGGAACCTGCTTTAGATTAGACTCACTCTTCACAACATTTAAATATACGATATTACACTAATTATAGCCTACCTACTTAATACGGAAACGTTTTCGCTTCACTATTAAGACATAAACTATCCACTCGTTATTACTGTTTACATGTCACAGCGATATATCCTAAACTACTAAGTGACAGTTTTGCTTTGTTTATATATATTGAAGAATATCTTAGCGATGAGATCTAAAATGTTATTCTAAACGTTGCAGCGAATATGCACCTTTTGTCTTAATATTCTCAAATAATGAATAATATCGATATATATGTTTCAAGATATATGACTAACTTGTAATCCTCTTTCTCAAGTATCGTTGATTTGCATATTGACAGACATACTGAAAGCTAGAGTGTACTGGGTGATTGTGTTTAGTTTCTAATATCTTTCGTGTTCACGAGCTTTCCCTCAACAGTTGAACTGAATATTTTCACATCTTATTACTAGGGAGGACTTTGAGTCTTTTTAACTTCAGGCAACTAATAATATGTGACCCCCTGGCGACGTCACGCTCCGTAAATTGTCCTTCTGATTTATCTGGCCGCAGTTGAGATTCCCCTAATTATGCTCATTAAACTGTGACTCAGGTTCATATTTTATGGTGTTTAATTGACTATTCGAATATGATTTAAATGAATGATGTCATGTAATAAAATTACTGTCTGAACTTCAATTTCTTTACTTTTTTAACTTTCAACATCTTAGTCTACATATTTGTTAGTGAATTAAGTTCGTTTTATTTAATTTCTCTATCTGTGGATTAATTTTCGAACTCAACTTACTTATACGTTACCAGCCGTGTTAATTTTGATGTTTTGTTCGCCCAAGATAGCAGATTTTAAACTAGTAGGTAAGGTCTTTGTGATAAACTTAGGAAGTTTACTGCTGTGTAAGGACTGCAAATGAGTTTTAAATCAACATATGTCATTGTCAGATGCAAGCAGATCACCAAACCAGCAAATGACCTATCTGTTAACATTTCGGTTATTTAAATATGAGTCAGCCTGCAATGATCAACGTAGAGCCTGACATAAATGTCGGTTCAAACAGTTTATCATACCAAATCACCACAAGATGAAATTAGCAAAATAGATTAGGATTAATACAGTATGACAATATTAGTGATAGTAAGAAGAGTTTAAAATTGAAAATATAGCTCTAGAAAAATTGATAAAAATGGTATTTATGTAGGTAAACTGAAGCTAATTTTTAACATAGATATTGGTACAAGGAGGCACCAAATACATATGCACCACACAAATCTCATTCGATATGTGTGAGGGCTGTGATACTGCCCGGGTGCCCAGACCGAAGCAGGTGGTTTTCTTAGGGGGCCACACCCGGAGCCTTCGACCTGAAGGTCTGATCCACAAGGCAGTGGAGCATCGTAAGGAGATGCAGTCCCATGGTAGCCGGTGACCAACGATCGGTTCATACGCCATTTGTTCCCTCAGGATACTGGAGCCCATGTGCACCATTGGTTTGGAATCCGGTTAAAGCGCCGGACATTCGCTTTTCGTCCTCTCAATTTCGTAAACAACCCCCCCGCCACGAGAAGGCAATGAGTAGGACTTCCCTGGCAGAGGCTATATACGCGTGGCCATGTGAGAGCATTTCGAGAGGGAGAGCGGACTCTCCCCACTCTCGGCCGTACCAGGGCATTCGGGGGCAAACTGAAGCTAATGGTCTACTATGGATATGAGAGTGGATGAGTTTACTCCTCTATCACCGATTTCGACCCATAATACCCAAAGTCTTCATTCACTATTCGCCGTTACCACGCCGACAATATCCAGATAGTCTGCATCTATCGATATGGATAAGTCAAACATTCATTGATTTCACTAACCGATTCTACATCTTGATTTAGCCACCCCTAACTTTCTTACAACCTAATCAGTTAACGTCGCGCGACAGTAGTTGGAGATAAGTAATACATGTCCCAGCTACTGCAGTCAATGGATATGCACAACCTTATCAATTGATTTACCATATATTCCTAATATCCTGTCTCTGTTTCAGACAAAATGGTGATAATAATACAGTATTTCTAATAATTGCTTTATTTTCATAACAGTTTAGTCGTGGATGTTATTTTGAAATGGTACTTTTGTGTTCTATACACATATCTTTTTTACTTATTTGTTTATGTTACACTAATTGGTTGTGTCTTATTATTCAGAATTATTCTGTATGAACTTTGCGTTTATAGATATTCGTATACCATTGATCTGGCGTAATATAGCCCCAGGGACTAACATGCATTTGACTATGCAACAGTTATTTCCAACGTCTAGCATTGTTAGTGGTTTACTACCAGCTGTTGTTAATGCTTCTGGAGATAATGCGGACTATTCAGATAGTGGTGAACAATGTGATGGTTATAGTTTGTTTTGTACAATCCAAGTTGGTCATATAATTCGAGATACTCGGCTAATCTTCGATATCAAGCCTGGTACCGCAGATATTGAATTTAATGATAAATGGACGTTGTAAGTTACCTAAATAATTTGCTTATTGATTAGTTATTGTTATAGTTAGATTATTGACTTGATTGTTTATTTCATACTCAAGTTTTACTGCCTATGGAAATACGTGTCTCAAGTTTATTGATTAATATTCATATTCTCCCATCTGAATTTATTTCTGTAGCTTTCTAATAATTTAGAAAGAGCGACTCAGGTTCGTGAAGGATCACATTTGCTTCTGTAGTACATTTTCCGTGCATATTTACCCTGAATATACGTCGATGTGTGAGTTGGTGTTTACTTGAATTTGTACGAATCAGGGATTTTTGACTCATTACTTATATCCTTACCATGGATTGTTAGTGTTTTGTTTTCGTGTGATGATTTCCTCTAAAAATCTCGTATGAATGTGTATTATGTATATCCTGTCGCTTTAGTCTTATTCACAACTTACAATTAGAATATAAGTATGCAAAATCAGTTGTCAAACAATGAACACAAGATATGTACCCAATGAAGTTAGAAAACCCTGGTTCCCAACCAGTAATACGTATGAATTTCTACAGCGAAATCACGTTTAAGTCTGTATTGACAACCAGCTATCATGCGAAGCTAACACTTAAATCCGTTTAACTGTTTTGGAGATCCGACTTCTGATCCCAATGGCTATTTATTAGGATCATTTAATGTCGCACTTTATTACACCTTACCTATTATGACATGCTGACATCATAGTTTAGTGAACACCGGTGATAGTTTTGTACTCAAACTCACTGGTATTTTGATCGAATTACATTACTTCTTTTACTCTGTACCTTTAATCGTTTCACAACTCGTAAGTTACTGAATTCTTTGAAAGCTTAAAATAATTGTCTATTTACATTGTCATTGGTTAAAATTATCATTGTGTAAATAAATGACTTATTAGAATAAATACATAATTCTGTTTCATGGCATAAAACTGACTGATCGGTTTTTCCTTTTCGATTAATTCCTTAAGTGATGATGTGACATCGGAATTCGAATGTGTAATTGAAATCTATGCTTTTCCAAAGGGAGGTTCTAAAAGCAATTCTTTATTTTCTAAACGTCGAATTTTACCTATCTATGAGGGAGTAAGAAGATCATCAGACCAAGTGAGTTCATTTATGCTTATGTCTTTCTTCCAATTATTCCTTTTAAAAAAGCCTTTGTAATTTTATTACAGCTATTTGTTTGAACTCCACATTATCTTAAATTAGTCAGTCAGTCAGTCAGCTACAACGTAGGACCAGGCACATATGTGCATCGGTCCAGGTTGCCATACCGCATTAGCACAACAAGATGAACACCGGATTCATAGCAGTGGTTATATCAAAGGTGGTAATATATATGAGAAAGATTAGTGCTTTTATGTTGCAGCAGGCCAGTTGAACTGCCCTTCGAAAAATTCTGCCCATCGTCCAAGACGTCGATGGATGTTAGTGATTGGCATCCCATCATCCTCGCAGATTGTTTCACTCACACCAGACTTCTTGCTGCCAGTGGCTCGGATGAGCTGGAAGAGCTTCCGGCAGTTACCAGATGCAGCTGCTGCTTCCAGCTCATTAGCACGCATCGACCACCAGGCTTCTCGGTCCTTACGCAAGCTTTGCCCAATTTCCTCACGTAACATCCTTCGTTTATGGTCAAACTCACGGTCACCCGGAGTAGACCGACGGGCTTCAATGAGTTGTAAGGAACCAGAAGAAACCCAGTGCTTAAAAGCGGGACGTTTCGCAAACCCACAACTGACTGTTCCCGCCATTTTCATGGCGTCATGCAATTGCAACCAATGCTCATCTATACTTTTCGGTGGAGTGGTAGCTAGCCTAGAGGCTAGCTCGGTTCGATACTTACTTGCAACAGAAGTTGCAACCAGCTTGCTAACATCAATCCGTTGATGGCGTTCACTTCGTTGTCCACTGAAAAGTAAGGCAAGATTGGCGCAGACCAAGGCATGGTCAGAGTCCAGATAGGTACTCCAAAAGGAGCGGCAGTCTTGTACACAACCACGCCAGCGGTAGCTGATCGCGATGTGATCAATCTGAGTCCAGGCTTGAGATGCAGAGGGAGGACGCCAGGTGGCACATCGGCGATGACTGTGCCGAAAGTTAGTGCTAGCCAGAAACAGGTTGTGGTCTGTGCAAAGTTGCAGTAGACGGTCCCCGTTATCTGACCTGCGACCAACGAGTCCCCATCGGCCACCTAAACGACTCTCTTCTGTGCCTAGACGCCCGACCTGAGCATTCAAGTCTCCGGCTAGTACTACAATATCTGTCGAACGCACTTTCTGGAGAAGAACAGATAACTGGTGGTAAAACCCATCCTTGATTGCATCCGGGCTGCAATCTGTCGGGGCATAGGCGGAGATGACGAAAAGGCATCGTTTCTCACGCCGATTTCTTCTCACTTTGATGGAACTTTCTAATCTAACAGCACATAACCGACTGTTAATGGGGATCCAATCGACTAGTGCTGCCTCAGCTCTAGCGCTTAGTGCGACACCAACGCCAGCAAGACCAGACAAGGATGCCACAGGGTCCCCGGATAAGCGCACGTAAAACAAGCTTTTCGAAGCGACAGATGGAGATCGAATTTGTAGTACTTCGCCAGAGTCTTGAGTACGGGTCTTCGAATTCCCATTGTTTTGTGTGGCGCATATATATTGGCGCTCTATTGTACCAATATTTATGTGTTCAAAATAAAATAAATAAAATAGTGCTTTTATCTGATTAAAAATTCATCTTTCGAACTATTTGTTTACATGTCTTAACTTTTAATTGACACTAGATCGCATATATATTTTTCGGTACACTTAGTTTGTCCATAGTTTCTTTTTGTATTTTCATATTTCATCTTATTCTTCACTTCCCTCTTTTGGACTTTCTGTACCTGTCAAACACTCCGTAAAATATTTCCGTTAAATTATATATATTTTTGGATTACCATATGAAAATTTGAGTGCCAATTCACTTGATGGTTGCTGACTAATTTTACAATCTGTTATCGAATAAAAAAATATCATCGTTATGTTTAATTTGATCTAAAAACATTATGTTACAGAAGTTTAGTAATTATGATTAAGGTTAACAAGTTAATATTTAGGAGATTAACTGAGGTACGTTTTATGTTATGTCATATTAATGAGATAGTTTCAACTTATTTTTATTCCGTTTACATTCTAATATTACTGGCATCAATCTTCCTAAATACACTATGTCCCTTTTTGTCTCATGTCTAATAGGTTGTTTTCATTGCACTGGTTATGTCATTGATCAAATATGATTTCATAAACAAAATTATAACTCATAGAAATTTTAAATTATATATATATATATATATATATATATATATATACATAATATTTTGTGATAACCATGTACTCATTTCCTTACCTAACAAATTATTTCGATCATCTGACCATATATTCTATTTTAAGTAGTAAAATGATTATCTTTGATTTATTTTTCTCTAGCATGTGAATTCCGACTCATCCATCAATCAAAATTCGTGAGTTTCGTTTTGTTTAAATCATTTTAAGCAAGAATACAAAATAACTAATTAAATCTTATTAAGCGTTATAAGCATAATTATGCTAATATACATGATATCGTTTATGTAATTAAGTGAAATGATCGGTAGTTTATTTATCGTCAAACTGGATTGTTAGAAAGTTTTCGGGTCATGATTGGTAGGATTCGGTGGACATTAATATATAGATAGTATGACATTGGTTACTGTTCATTAATCGATTAGAATTTTGTTTGTGATCCAGTTAGTTTAACTTTCCTCTGATTCGCGGATAAAAGTAGCAAGGAAAGTTTCTGTGAAATCTATTCAAATATTGTATGTTTTATCTATTTCTCGTACATTAAGAAAGGTTTCATAAAGTAATTTGTATTTATGTCATTTGAAAATACTTTGGCTTGATGATAAATAATTTTAACTGTTTGTGCAAAGATCGATTTAGGGATATTTGCATCCAAATGCTAAACTAATGTAGTGTCTTATTTGCAAAGCCCTTGAAATAAGATGGCTTTTGTGATAACTCCAACAGTATCATAGGAATGTTTGTTGTCTTATAAATGAAAATAATAAAGTTGAATAGGCTAGATTTTTTATTCTATTCTAAACGTGTTAATTTCTCATTCATATTGGTACATTTTAGATCTCAATATTTTGATTTAATTGGACGTTGTGTTGCCACTTTAAAAGATGTACAAAATAAAGTTTCTTCACATACACTAGAAATGGGTAATCAACTTGTTTATTCACGTGAATGTAAAAATTCATCATCACCTGTTTCTAATTCTACGACAATACATAGGAATTCTGTATTTACTGACCAATCGAATGAAACATCAGAAATATGTGATTTACCATTATTTGGTAATATTTGTTATCGACTTATTGCACAACCTCATTCAACTAAATTACCATTAAAGTCTGGATATCTGTGGATTCGTGTAAGTATCAATATTTGTACAGTTAAACCATTCAGTATTCAATGTATCTTTTTTTTCTCCTACTTTTACTGTATCAATAATAATTTACGCAATTATTTTAATTTGTTTAATTAAAATTAGATATTTCCATAAATGAAGAAATCAACTCAAGATTTTCTAATTATACTCTAGAATTGTCTGATATTCTCATGTGGCATTCTGTGATTTTAATTGGGAAACTGTTTCAAAAACCACGAAACCATTAAATAGTTGTTTTTTTTGGGAAACTACTCATCCGCCTATGAAATCGAAATCAGGTATCATGACCAACAAAATACCTTCAAAATCGTTTAATTATGACATGTATGACTATTCATGTAACATTTTATTTACATAAGTACAAAATATTTTATTCTGACAAGATCTATTTAAACTGATATTAAACATGGTACATATTAGCTGATTTACTGTAATGATTAGTATATCGTTAAAGTATCTTCTCTGTCATTCTCAAGTTGGTTTGTGTCAATGTGTTTTATAAAAATGTCACAATGTCATGTTATGATAATGTGGTTCACTCTAGATAACAGGATTGTTTTCAAACGAATAGGTATTCAGTATATAACGAAGTGTCTCTACGTGATATTATATGCCACCGCGTTTCACATATTCTTGGTTACTAAGTGAGAATACACTGTTATTAACGAGTTTTGCATTAAAATTTGCTGGCTGTTATGTTTTTATTGTTACATTGTCGAAAACAGAAGAAGGGAGGTGGTGAATCTTCATCGACTGAGATGGTTGGGCCACGTGTTACGTATGCCTGAGCACCGATTACCACGACGTGCATTGCTAATTGGTGTTGGGGATGGTTGGAAGAAAGTTAGGGGTGTCCAAACTAAAACGTGGCATCAGTGCTTGAAGACACTAACTTCTAGTCTGAGCCATGTCGGTGGATGCAAACTACTTGGTTGGGGTCCCCGTAATTTGCTCAGAATCGATCGCAGTGGCGTCGGTGTATACAATCTCAGTCTTCCCTTAAACTAAGAGATGAAAATCACTTCATATCTTTCTTTCTACGAAATAATTCTTTGTTCCTGTACTATATCCTTATATGCAATCTTTCCTTTATATATTACCACCATTGACTTAACTACTCCTATGAATCCGGTGTTCATCTTGCTGTGCTAATACGGTATGGCAACTTGGACCGATGCATATATGTGCCCGGTTCTACGTTGTAGCTGACTGACTGGAGCCTAGTTAACTAAGAATGGAAATATTTCAGTATTGGATAATCATAATCTGTGTCTTACACGTATGCATAATTTATTTATTTATTTTAACACATGAATATTGGTACAAGGGGGCACCAAATATATATGCGCCACACAAAACAATGAGAATAAGAAGAGAAGAAAGAAGGTAAGGTGCGTATAAGGAAAAAAAGAAAAACAATAACGACCACAGGATAGTGCAAGGTAGTGTAGTAATAATAATAATATTAAAAGTACAACCAGAAAGAATTCTTTCACTTAAGCAAGATACAACCACTTTTTATGAAGAAAGTAGAAGGTTACATTAGGATCTCCACTGGCTTCTATTCTGAGCCATATCTGATAACGTCTCTAGCCACTGTGTTGTACCATCTCTGGGACCCCAACCAAAGAGTCGTGAAGGACCAACAGAAGACAGCCCTTTGTAGCTTTCTTTCATACCACGATACCATCTCATTCACTGACCACCTTTCCGCTTTTTCCAACCAGTCCCAGCGTCGGCAAATAATGCACGGCGTGGAATTCTGTGGGACAGCATTCACAGAACATGTCCAAGCCACCGAAGTCGATGTTTCAAGATGGTGACACCAATTGAATTATCGTCTCTGCGCCCGAACACACGATGCCGAACCTCGACATTACTAACATGGTGTTGCAAATGGATATCAGCAATCCTTCGTAGACAACGATGATCAAACACAGAGAGTCGCCTAACATCCTCAACTCGGAGAGGCCAGGTTTCACAAGTGTAGAGCGAAACTGCTCTCACTGACGCATTGTAGATCCGACCTTTTACAGCCAGACTGACATCACGAAGGCGCCAAAGGTGGCCCAGATTGGCATAAGCCGCTCTGGCTTTTTCACTATACGTGAATTGATCTCATCACTGACGCCACCACCAGCACTTATGCAGCTACCTGGATACACGAACTTCTCGACTACTTCTATCTGCTCACTACCCAGAGTGAGTATAGCATCAGGGTCCTGCCAGTCTTGTAAAACTAATTTACACTTAGAAGGTGCAAAGCACATATCATACCTACGGAAACTAATTGCCAACTGATTAAGTGCGGATTGCATGGCTTGAGTATTATTGCACAGTAAGACAAAACCATCCACATACTCAAGGTCGAGAAGTGTTTCTCCAGGCAACAGATCCACACCACCATTACTTACATCCATCAGAGCTGTTTCCAGAATGTCATCGATGGCAAAGTCGAGGAGGGATGGTGGGATTGGGCAACCCTGTCTAACGCCACTGTTTGAATGTAACAGTGGAGAAAGGTGATTGTATGCCCTCACTTTGCCTGAGATGTTTGTATATAGAGTCTTCAAGATGTTAATAAACCTCTCAGGCTCACCATTCTTTAACAGGTAATCCCAGAGAACAGTTATGTCCAACGAATCGAAGGCGGCCCTAATATCAAGAAACACTACGATTGTTTGCCTTTGATAAGTATGATAGTGTTCTAACAATTGGCGGAGGGTGAAGATATGATCAATACATCCTCGACCGAAACGAAACCCAGCCTGCTCCTCGCGAGTCAACCTTTCTCGGGTTTTGAACAGCCTACGAAGTATGACGGAAGCCAATAGCTTGGACGCAATCGGAAGTAGACTTATCCCCCGGTGCATCATTTTCATGTAAATAACTTGTACAGTAACAGTCTAATAAATTAAATCAAACGTCAATACACAGATTATTGCTTTTCGGTTAACATTTTAAGATTTTACTGGAGATTTTCTCTACCATTCAAAATCCAATCCTTACAGTTTATGTTTCTGAATCGCGTTAGACCATTTAAATATACTAACCAGAAGACTTTAAATAATACATTATGCATATTGTTCAAATATAACTTACTCTTGTGGTTTAAATCATCCCCACTAGAAAATTACGCACTACAAAGAATATGCGTCCAGCTTTAAAAGCTGAACAGTCTGAAGCTCATCCCCGAAATGGATTGAGACTAATTATTGAAATATTGCATCCTATTGTAATAGATGACATGACTCTTCTATTCTAAATAAAAAGGTCATGTGTAAGTTATTCCATTATTCAATTATTTTTTGTAGGCAAACGTATTAGCCAAAATACTGTTGATTTTTATTTCAATCGATAGTTTATCTTGTTTCCCTTTATCTCAATTTATGCGCCCATACCTATGTTGACTAGCCATTCAACTTCAGAATATTAACGATTCCCAGTTTAATTGTTTGGTTAGAATCGCCGAAGTAAATAATTTGATAGTTTACCTACATTTAAATTTTAACAGTATTCTAAACAGCGTATTATCAGCTCATTCACATGTATAAAAACAAAATGCATCTTAAGCTTTGTTTTGTATGAATTTTTTCTGCCTACAAGTACATTTACTGACATCATGTTGGTTTATTAAAATGACTCACTGAATAAGTCCATTTACCAATTTGTCATGAATTAGAACAAAAACTTTTAAAATAAAACGTTTAACGGTAATAGAAGAGTTCATGTAGTGAAATGTTCATCACACGAACAACTCTACCAGTCGATGTAGTCACTTGACTCATTAACGTTAATAAAAAACAATTATATTTACAGTATGAGTTAATTACTGATCTAATCATCAATACATTTTGTTCACTTTGTTAATTGCATGTGTGTTACTTTACTAATTAAATAAATTGATTTCATATCTGATAAGTGTTTTGGAACTTATGTTTACTACTATATAACTTTAAGAGTGATTTACATTGAATTAGGATCTTTAAATACAATGCCAAAACTGTGAAAAGGTCTTACAAATTATTCGGACAGATAAAGTTTGATTAACACTAAGAAGTTCATATTATCATTTTAAAGTTACATGACATTACTAATAAGAAGACTGTTTTACTATGCGTTTCATTAATATAAACTAGGTTTCAAACATCTTAACAGGATACTTTATAATATTTATCTTGTTGATTTTGCTACTGAATACTTCACCTTTTTGCCATTGAAAGAATTTAAAATATCTATTCATTTGAGGCTCTCGTAATTGTTATAAACTTAGCAACTGTATTGTTCAGACAATTATCTCACTTTTCTCATCTTCGTTGTGATGCATTTTTACCCTCAACAAGTAATAACTATTAAAAAATTTTCTTTTACTAAATTCAATTATCAGAAATTAACTCCTTCGCCTATTCAGACGCCTATGATGCTTTATCGTTGTGAACTTCGAGATCGTTACCTTTGGGCTACGTTAATTAATACAAGTCATTATGAAGGTAGTTCACATGGATTTTCTTCATCCGATCGTGTAAGTTGTAACTTGTTAAAGTTTCTTGACAAGTAACAACGTTCTCTTTTGAAAGTTTACTTAATTTATTATCTTTTCATCATTTCAAAATTGTTGGACTAATCCCGAATTTCAGTAAGTACTAGTTCCCTCTATAATGTATGTGTAAACATGCAAAAACGTGATAAAGTTTCGAAAAATATATCTCAAATCATGTTAACCTTGACAAATTTCATTAATAAATCATTAACCTACTTTCATCCATTAGTTTACGAGTTGATAACCTTCAATACCTACCATATGTTTAGGTAGCTGTTAAGTCACTTTGAATCTCTTTCTGTTAAATAAAACTTTACACTGTTATTTATTTACTTTAAAGTTTTCAAATTTCTTAATTCGGCTCTAAATCCCAAACAGGTTTCATTGTATCTACTTCACCTACTTTTCATTAGCTCTTAATATCTCACTGTATATGCCTCTCATCATATTTTTAACTTATCCTACATATAACAATATATTGTTAGGCATAAAGTATAAAGGTATGGATCTTACTGACAGGTGACAATTGATTGCTCTCACAAGTGGTTCCACAGCGTTCCATTATTATGTTGCAACATTCCATTTTTTTTCACAAGACTATTATTTATAGAAAGCGCAACGGCTTATTTTCCATAACACTACTTCATTCTATCTCTGAAGTGACGGATATGTTTATGTATTTTGTGGCTCTCAAAAATATAAATAAACAGCTACTGCAATCATGGCGTCTCTGTTTTCATCAAATTCGGTCCCATTTCGGCGAAAACCTTCAACACATTTTAGTACCGATTTTACTACGTATATCAGCCTTCCATTCGCTGTGTGGTCGCCTAAGTATAATTTTCTCAGCAAACATAAACATATGTTCATTAATCGTGCTGTAACTTGTCATTGACCAGTATTGTGATTTTTCTTTTGTCTGTTATGTACCTTAAAGGTGGTTGTTCTCCGTGACTTAACAAATAGGTTTTCAACCTTCAACAGTCATGTGTCATTCTTGATATCTTGGTCTGCTTTCCAGTGAACCTGAAGTTACCTAATTTAGTTTCATAAAGGGTTATTGATACGTTTCGCTTAAGAGTTTCAAAATAATGAAAGAGTGCTACCAACAAGTTATATGCGATGGCTGTTCAACTACATTTAACGTGTATCCCAAACTATCTTCCTGAAATCCTTTGGTCAGAAGATACAGTGATCTCAATTAACTGAATAAATTTATTCTGTTTTTTACAAGAAGAAACACATTTTTACGAGTGATTTAAGCTAATACCGTGAATTATTCGGACACGTTCGTTCAATCAGTATTACCGTTAAGGTTCGCAGTTAACTTCGAAAGCATAGTCGAAGTAATTATTACTTTCCTCTGTCTTACAACATATACTTAACGTCTAGTAATACAGTTTCCAACTAATATAGCTTTTAGAGTGTAGACGTCATTCGTGTATGATAAAATGTGTCAACATTTTCGAATATTTTATCCACTATTCATAAATTATTTGTGACAGTTTAGTTATCGGTTTAATCTTAACTAAAAGACGTTTAACCTATATTCAGATACTTATACTTTATTCGTCAGTATGCTTGTATTTTATTTAAGCACAAACATCGTTATACGAAGGTATTAAATACATATGCGCCACATAAATCGTTCGATATGTATGAGGTCTGGAATACTTTCCGGGCGCCCAAACCGGAGCAGTTGGTGAGTAGGACTTCCATGGCAATGGCCGTATACTCGTGGTTATGTGAGAGCATTTTGAGAGGGAGGATGAACTCTCCCGACCCTCTGACGTACTAGGGCGTTTGGGTGTTTGTCTATTCATTCTATATGTTTTTTTATTATTAAGTTTTGTTACGAAGAACTTACCACTTTTTTTGGACAAGCAGAATAATCAAGTGTCAAAATGCGATAACCATGAAACTGGTTCTTGTTTTAATCCAACTGGTGCGAATTCTGAAGATTTTATCCAAAATCATAAAAAATTCATTCCTCCTAAAGAACATTCTCATGAAAATAATTTTTTGAAAAATCCAACAACATCTTTCTTTCGAACGATTGATTTATCAAGAAACAATTCGTCTGCACAAAATGAATTTGACCATACTTCAATTAATAGTTCATTGGGTTCTGGAATCAATCGTAATTTATTGTCATCGTATAATTGTTATGCTGATCTAATTATACCTATTCATACAGTAAGTATCTCTTGTTGAGTTAATAATCAGAATGTCGAAAAATTAAAATTTTAATAATAAGTTATCTCTTGCATTCAATTTATATCAAGCTATTTGACTGGTGTGTATTTTAGAAAGTTGCATATTTCGATATAGAACTCGGTTTGATTTAAAACATCCGGTGAGAGTAAATCTACACGTCATTACTGAATTCATATAATAAGGCAAATAATTCTTTATTTGTAAATACATTTACAATCTTGCCATCGCTTTTGAATTTGTGAATGCAAATCGTTGGATGTTAACACAGTATTCTGATGGTTGGAGCCTTGCTGCGTATACTTAAGGTTCCTTGTTTCAATCCTCGGTGAGGTCGTGAATATGGATAAGATTAAGCTGGTTCGTAATGTGACACTTAAAATTAAACAGTTTCCACAACACCGTATAATAAATTTTAAATAATACCGAAATATTTTAAATAAGAATATCTTATCACCGATCTCTATGTTTAATGTTAGGAAGAAGTTCTAGCAGGCCGTTTGTTCTGCTTTTATTTATATCAAAAGTGGCCTTTCAAAGTGGACCGGTGGGTTACTTTGCTTACCAGTTAAATTTGTTTATTGATCAGTTGTTTTTTATAGACACTCTCCGACCACCAGGCTTCTCGGTCCTTACACAAGCTTTGCACAGTTTCATTACGTAACAGTTTTCGTTTGTTGTCAAACTCGCGGTCGCCCGGAGTAGATCAACGAGCTTCAATGGGTTGTAAAAAGCCTAAAGAAACCTAGTGCTAATAAGCGGGACGTGTCGCGAAGCCACAAGCAACTTCACTCGCCATTTTCATGGCGTCATGCGATCGCAGCCGATTCTCATCTATACTTTTCGGTGGCATGGTAGCTCGCCTTGAACCTAGCTTGGTTTGGTATTTAGTTGCAACAGAAGCTGCAACCAATTTGGTGACATCGATCCATTTAGAACGATGAATTTGTTGGCTACTGAAACGTAAGGTTAGGTTAGCGCAAACAAGGGCATGATCAGAGTCTAAGAGGAGCAGCAGTCTTGCACACAAACCACTCCAGTGATAGTTAATCGCAATGTGACCAGTCTGAGTCCAGGTTTGAGATGCCGAGCCACAGGATCCCCGGATAAACGCACGTGAAACAAGCTTTCCGAAACGACAGATGGACAGCGAACTTGTGGTACTTCACTAGTCTTGAATACGGTTCTCTGATAGACAACAGACATCGATATTAAGACTTTCTGAAGATATAGCCAACCCTATCTGTTATCCGATCTGCATTAGTATGCTAACGTTTAAATGGTTTATGTGGTTTCAGAAAGACTGTTTCAGTATCCGTAAAAAACGTTTTTCATATTTCGTCTGTTTGAATGATGTCCATGATACCAAATTATGTTTTTTATTTTGTGATCAGGAAACGGACTTTCTTGATTCACAGCTCGTCCTAAGACAAACTGAGCTAAGTGTATCTCAAAGAACCAATGAATCGTCAAACATCTCTGGGAATGATTTCAATAAATCAAATGAATGTAGTATTCCTTCACCTAAGAATGATGGACCGAATTCCGATGTCAAGTGCCATCATCCAGATGTAAATGATGTCTCTTTAGATAAGAAACGAGCATTTTCAGCAATAGATGTATCATGTTTATCTAACAGCTCAAGTTCTAATGATCATTCGTACGCCACACAATCTTTCTTTTCTACAAATAAACCTGGATTATTGAATTGTCAGTCTGTTGATAACATTTTGGATCTTTCGAAAACTGAACATGTACATTTCCGGGACGAAACAAATATCCTAGAATCACAGTTAAACAACCTACGGAGTCAGTCAGAAGCAGCATCCATTACAAAGTCTGATGGTTTATCTCCAAATGTGGAAAAGTTTATGTCTGCTTCTAAAAGCTCATTGTCTCCAATAAGAAGAGATTTTAACAAACCCTTACCTAGCCCCGTGGACTCTAGGAAGAGATATAATAGAGTTTCTCGTTCTGTAGAACCTGTGCGCAGGATTTTTCCTAAAGTAACAACTGCTCACAAAATAGATACAAGCAGCTTATTTGATTTAACTAAATTTGGAGAACTGCAATATTTAACACCGCATTCGTCTAAAGTTTCTTCATTTATTTCAGTTAACGGTTCTAACAAAGATAACAAAACTGAATGTCATCAATTATGTGTGTTTTCATCTCAGCTACTTACATTTCGTATTGCTACTTGTCATTTGGATAGAAATGTCTCCTCAACTAGACACCATTTATCAGAACTACGACAAAACGGTTCCTCTGTTGAAGTATTCGAATTCACAGCAACACAAATGATGGAGAATGATCTAGATCAGTTAAATGAATCAAGCACAATATTTAAAAGTGATGAAGAAGAAACCATTGCTTGGTTTTCCATTATGAAAAAGCATGTACAGGAACAAGGTATATTTGTTAAATAATATTCAAAAAGTTCAGTCAAAGACTTGTGTTTTGAATACTAAAATGTGCTATTCTATTTTTATCCTCACTCTCTGTAACTATCTTCAAACAATAATTGCTTATTTTAAGGAAAAGATACTGGATATGATGTAGAATGAAAATAGATAATCTCTGCGTTTCAGAACCTTATATTACAACCAACGAACACCGTGGTAGGGCTGTGAGTGATAAAGTTCTCTTTCCTTCTCGAAATGGTTTCCCTACAACCTCAGATTTATACCCTTTCAGGTAGTTCCTTTTCACTACTTCCATTTGGCCGGGATACTTCATAATAGTGAAGGTGAACATCCGGTGCATAAATCGGTCTCATGGATGCGGAAAGTTTACCTGCAGAAATTGCGAAACCCTTATTCCAAACCAATGTTGTTAATTAGCCCACTTATTCAGAGGGAAGAAATGAAGTATAAATGAACGTTAATCACTAGCTAGCAAAGAGACTACATGTGGCCCCTATTGTTTTATGTAATAAACCTTTCGGTTTGTACATATGTAGTGATTAATTTGTATTTTTCCATTTCAAAATCTCCTTTGTGTTAATGTTTGAAATTTTCGGATCGTCAAAGCAGTTTTATCGGAGTTACACTAAGTTACAGTAGGATCATCACTAACTTCTATTCTGAACCATTTCCGATTACATTTGAAGCTAATGTGTTGCACTATCTCTAGGACCTCAACCAGGGATTCGTGAAGGTTCAACAGAAGCCAGTCTTATATAACATTCTTTCATACCACGACACCATGTCATACACTGACCAACTCTTCACTTTTCTCAACCGGTCCCAGCATCGACAAATAATGCACGACATGAAATTCGTAGTACATGTCTAAGCCACCAGTGTTTCGAGATGGTGACACCAATTAAAGTATCGTCACTGTGTCCGAACACACGTATATATATATATATATATATGACCCTACAGTAAATTTCTTTCTTTTTCCTATTTCTCTTAAATATTATAGAACTTTGGGGCTCTGAAGCTTTCTCCGAGACTATTAATATCCCTAAAAGTAAATCAAATTCTATTCGAAATACAAGTGCCCGTCGATCAGTAGCAATTCCATCTGATATTTCTTTTCTAACATAACATACCATTACTTTTGTAATTAATTATTCTACTTTCATTTATATAATTGTGAGAAAACATAAATTTACAAGTTATTTTTTTTGAAAAAAAAGAATTCATTGTTCAATGTTTTATAATGTTTCTTTTGTCTACTAGATTCTTTTATTCATCTGTTTATTTATTTGTTTTTAATGGTGAATAGTTATTTATTATAGTCCTTATGTTGTGTAAATAAGTAGAATCTATGATTTAGTAAACTATTTATTGTATTCTATGTTAATATTTTTGTTTTGTTATACCTTATACTCACAATTATCCATGTTTTCTATTTGTTTCCATTTTTTTGTATACAAAGATCTGGTTTTAGACGTTTGATTGCTATTGCTTCGGCAAGTTTCAAAAGGTTTGAAGGTGATCAACAAACAATCAAATTCAAACCTTTTGAAATTCGCCGAAGCAATAGCAATCAAATGTTTCCATTTTGTTTTGTAAATTAACCTTTGGTTCTACTTTCCTATTTTATTTTTTTAAAGAAAAAATACTAAGTAATTATAGATTAAAAACTAGCCAAATAATTGACTATTCCTAATTGTTTCGATTTCTATATCATTTAGTTAAAGTGTAATTTATGAATGGTTATGTATGTTCGTGATTATGAAATACATTAAAAGTGAAAGTACCTACATTAATGTGATCTTTATTAAGTCATGCAGTTTCTAGTTTATGGTCATTTACTTCTCTTTTTACATAGAAGGTATATGCGACTAAAGAATAGTGATTACATGAGGTGGTGTTAAATTTATAATCTAACCCTTCTTAACCATATATATATATATATATATCAATGCTAGGCAAAACTAACGTTTCAAGACTGACTTTCATCTTTTTTTTCCTGAATTAATGTGAATTTATTATCAACAAAACTCTGTGCAAGAGAAGCAGAACATCATTTCCATAGCATAAGGATTGAGTTTCTTTTCATAAAATATATTCATTTTTGTTATATAATAATACAATTTAAACAATGGCGTAGACGACTAACCATCTTACCTATGATGACCGAAAGTATCCAGTCAGCACCATGGATTATCAATTCATGAAATTATATTTCTTTTGATAACTTTAATATTAAAAATCTAACCTTTCTCATAGTTATCTTAAAGCAAGTGATTGTGAATTTTACAATTAATATATAAATGAAAAATAATTTAAACATACGTTTGCATATTTTGTTGTCCTATAATACCAATTGATTTGTGTTGCATTACATGTTTAGTGACACTGTTTATAACTATTGACAATGGTATATATTCAGCGTTATGTTAATTGATTGGGACTTTATGGTCATTAATTTTATGTTTACTAATAATACAATACCAAGTGAATTTAAACTTCATCCCATTTCACAAGCAGGTGGCTATCAGGACTCAGTAGCTAAGTGGAAGCGAACGGTACTGAGCTCGAGTCCCAGAGTGAATACCAACTCGGAGATGCAAGTATATCCGGCTAACGAGTCCCACATAGGACGAGACGCGCGTCCTGGATTCCACTGGTAGCCACTATTCATCTCAGCATATAATATCATTTTTGTTTTTTGTCACAAACAACAATAGTAATACATACAAACATAAAGATATATAATGCAGCATTTAGAATTGATCTAGTTATTATTGATAGAATGATAGATAATAATCACATGATTCACAAGTCAGCAGTGAGCTTGGTAAAGGACAATATATGTCTCACAACATATGATTAACTTAGATGTATAACGTGAGCATTGTGAAATTATATTGTGTAGTGGTGTAATTTTCAAGTTTCAGTGTACACCCGTAATCTAAGCACACTTTGTATGCTTGAATTTGTTAGATTAATCGATTTTTTGAGAGAAAAACCTGCGTGAAAAGTGTCTTTATATTTTTACTTTGTTACACTTGGTGTAAACAACAGTTTTTTTAAAAATATTACTTTAAGCTTTGTAAAATAAAGTTAAGTAATTGCATTATTTTGGTTACCAAGCCACTCTTTGACCATAATAGAATGTTCTATTTTTTATAGAAAGACAACTGTCGACTGTGTTTTTGTAAAGACAAAATTATAGAAATTTATTCCATATGGCTAACAAATTATTAGCCTTACATCTACATCAAACAATTTCCTAGTACACTGTAAATACTACTTGCTGGGTTCAAAGTTGGTTTTCACTATGCTCGAGTTATGTGGATGAAAAATTACGTTTTCAACAAATTTCCACAAACACACCTTCCTTTCTGCTATTGGCTTAAAAGCTATTATTATTGTTAGCTCAGTCTAACTTCAAAAATGTACTTGTTTGAAATGTCTTACCAATGCTTAATCGCCCTTACACTGGTGATCCAGTGTTCGTTAAACAGTGTTAAATACGAGAAGTTATATCTGACGATGAAAGTAATCTATTAAGCATACAAATACTCGGCATAATCAAATTAACAATCTCCTTTAAAACAGGCTGATAGAGTAGCGTGGTAAAGAATAAACAAACCAGTAATAGAAGTGATGTTTGACACAATCAAAAATTAAAGGTTATTTCATCGTAACATTTGGTGAGGAAAAACTAGTTTAAAATTAGGGAAAGACAAAGTACGAGTTGTCTGGGAGAGTTGACTATCCCTATAATAAATGGTAAACAGAATACACTTAGCAGTCGTAATCACAAGTTTTTGCTATGTGATATTTAAGTAAACTACGAAATAAAATACGTATAGACGTTTGCTTAGCACGAAATGCACTTGTAGGATGGGAATCTCACGGATCCAGAATCATCAAAGCATCATTCAAAACAAAGAAGGAGGGGATCTTAATGAATATTATCCAATGTTATGCACCCACCAATGATAGCAACGACGACATTAAAGATCAGTTCTACGAGCGGCTGCAGTCAGTGATAGAGAAATGCCCAAGAAAGGACCTCACCATTCTAATGGGAGATCTAAATGCCAAAGTCGGAATAGACAACACTGGATATGAAGATATTATGGGACGACATGGACTGGGAGAAAGAAACGAAAATGGAGAAAGATTTGCAAATCTATGCGCATTCAACAAATTGGTCATAGGAGGCACAATATTTCCACACAAGCGTATACACAAGGCTACATGGATCTCACCGGACCACACTACAGAGAACCAAATAGATCATATTTGCATCAACAAAAAATTCCGAAGGACAATGGAAGATGTGAGAACCAGGAGAGGTGCTGACGTAGCTTCAGATCACCATCTAGTTGTAGCCAATTTGAAACTGAAGCTAAAAAAGAACTGGACAAGTGGACAAACAGCAATACAAAGGTTCAATACAGCCTTCCTTCGAGATACTGTCAAACTCAATGAATCCAAGATAGCTCTCAACAACAGGTTCCAAGCCTTACGAGATCTACTGAAAGAAGAAGAAACTACTATGGAGGACAACTGGAAAGGCATCAAGGAAGCATTAACTTCAACGTGTCAAGAGGTTCTCGGTCTAAAGAAATACCATCATAAGGAATGGATCTCTACAGAAACAGTGGACAAGATCAAAGAAAGGAAGAACAAGAAGGCAGCAATAAACAATAGCCGAACACGAGCAGAGAAAGTCCAAGCACAAGCTGAATACATAGAAGCAAACAAACAAGTGAAGAGGAGCATTAGAGCCGACAAGAAGAAATACGTGGAAGAACTAGCAACGACGGCAGAAAAAGCTGCTAGAGAAGGAAACATGAAACAGCTTTACGATACAACGAGGAAACTATCAGGGAAATACAGTAAACCAGAGAGGCCGGTCAAAGACAAAGAAGGCAAGCCAATGACCGAAATTCAACAACAACGTAACAGATGGGTAGAATACTTCGAAGAGCTCCTGAATAGGCCGGCTCCAATGAATCCACCGAACATCGAAGCAGCACACATAGATCTTCCTATAGATGTCAATCCACCAACTACGGAAGAAATTAGAATGGCCGTCAGACAAATCAAGAACGGGAAAGCAGCGGGACCCGACAACATACCAGCTGAAGCACTGAAATCAGACATCGAAACAACCACAAGCATGCTTTATCTTCTATTCAAAAAGATTTGGGAGGAGGAACAAGTGCCGATGGACTGGAAAGAAGGACACCTCGTCAAGATTCCAAAGAAAGGAGATCTGAGCAAATGTGAAAACTACAGAGGCATAACACTACTGTCAATACCAGGGAAAGTCTTCAACAGAGTGTTGCTGAACCGGATGAAGGATGCAGTAGACGCCCAACTTCGAGATCAACAAGCTGGATTCCGTAAGGATCGGTCGTGCACAGACCAAATTGCAACACTACGGATCATCGTCGAACAATCAGTTGAGTGGAACTCATCATTATACATCAACTTCATTGATTATGAAAAGGCATTCGACAGTGTAGACAGGAGGACGTTATGGAAACTTCTTCGACACTACGGAATTCCTGAGAAGATTGTCAATATAATCCGAAACTCATACGACGGACTACAGTGCAAAGTAGTGCATGGAGGACAGCTGACAGATGCATTCCAAGTAAGGACCGGAGTCAGACAAGGCTGTTTACTCTCTCCCTTCCTTTTTCTCCTGGTGGTCGACTGGATTATGAAGACCTCAACATCTGAAGGAAAACACGGAATACAATGGACAGCTCAGAATCAATTAGACGATTTGGACTTCGCAGATGACCTAGCCCTCCTATCACGTACACACGAACAGATGCAGATGAAGACAGCCAGTGTAGCAGCAGTCTCTGCATCAGTAGGCCTCAGCATACACAAAGGGAAAACTAAGGTCCTCAAATTCAAAGCGGAGAACAGCAATCCAATCACACTTGATGGCGAAACTCTGGAAGATGTAGAATCCTTCACATATCTGGGAAGCATCATCGATGAACAAGGAGGCTCAGATGCAGACGTAAAGGCGAGGATCGGCAAAGCAAGGGCCGCGTTCCTACAGTTGAAGAACATATGGAACTCAAAACAACTTTCAACCAATATCAAAGTGAGAATCTTCAATACGAACGTCAAGGCAGTTCTACTGTATGGAGCTGAAACCTGGAGAACTACAACAACCACAATCAAGAAAGTACAAGTATTTATAAATAGCTGTCTTCGCAAGATACTCAACATCCATTGGCCGGATACCATCAGCAACAGCCTTCTGTGGGAGAGAACAAACCAACTTCCAGCTGAAGAAGAAATTAGGAAAAGACGATGGAAATGGATAGGACATACATTACGCAAATCGTCAAACTGCATCACGAGGCAAGCCCTAACTTGGAATCCTGAAGGGAAGCGAAAAAGAGGAAGGCCAAAGAACACATTGCGTCGGATAATAGAAGCAGATATGAAAACGATGAATTACAACTGGACGGAGCTAGAAAGGATTGCCCAGGACAGGGTTGGATGGAGAATGCTGGTGAGCGGCCTATGCTCCTTCACGAGGAGTAACAGGCGTAAGTAAGTAAGTAAGTAATAGACGTTTGCTGTGTAATTATTAGTTTTGTGTCAACATAGGCTATGTTATTTAGCCGGATGGATGAATGAATTTCGCGCCAAAATCCAAGACCTGTTTGCTTATATCTGATTATATCGTCCATAAATTATAGTCTCGCCTACATACAGTTATTTAGAAAAACAATTAAAATTCTTATATATTTGTTTATTTCATAAAGACAATAGATAAAATACAAACTGATGATTAGTACAGCTTGTGATCAGTTTATCATCAATGAAATTGAGTAGGTATAAAACTTGTATAATAGTTATTTACTACAGATTGTTGTTCACTGTTCGTAGTGGATTTATTAGGTATTGACCATGAACTATTTTCGTGTTTAACAGAATTTACTGATAATCGGCTTGCAGAATTCAACCAGTATAATTTCTTTTTCCATTTAGTTCTGATAAATTAATAAAAAAGAAATAGATACGAAATATAAGTGTTTTAATCGTTCATTTCTAACAAATATGTACGTTTTAATAGTTGAATTCATGAGTCAGTTTAAGCTAGAGTATCGTTGAAGACCTAGGAGCATTAAACGGTCATTTAGTCATAGTATGGGACTCCTCAGCAGTGTGTATCCACGATCCCACATGAGGGACCCGAACTCAGAAACTTCAGTCAAACTACAATTAATAACATAGATGTATAAACGAAAATTTGTTTGCACTGTTTATTCAGTTGGTAATAGCTAAGATTACATCACCTAGTTCTCAATACTGATCAGATTCTATCAATCAAATTACAATACGGTCACAGCTAACTTTGTTTGATGCTAATAGGGTTGTAGGGAATCTGTGGGAAATTTTAGATTTGGAAATTTATGTTAGTTATCATTCGTCACCACTCAATGTCTGTAATCTCAAGGGTCCTGATATTTCATGTAGGATTTTAACCATTGTCATTATATGTCATGGTAAGAAGAAACACCTCTGATCACTCAGTGAAAATATCTCAGTTCTAAGTAAACCACGGTTTAGCTAGCTTATTGGTAACGTATCTAGCACCCATTTTATCCAATACATAAACTTTCGATAATTTTACTTACTTTCCAGTAAAACCTTTCTGTTTATGAACTATTATATTCACTACTTAAATTCTTTTAATAATCTTTGATTACTTCATTAAAAGTTGAAACTACACATTCAACAAGAATAAAGTCGACCACCTTTGATGATTTTGTAACTCTCTTCTATTTTACTATAGACTAATTTATGTATAAATAATTACCCATTAATATGATTGTATAGCTTAAGAAAATTCTATCATCAAAAACAAAGTCTTTATCACTAAAACATCTTCATACTTTTTAGTGAATAGATAGGTTTCTTTCGTTGTTTAAATAATAACAGGCTTATTTACCAAAGAAACGAAAGAATGTGACATACAGTGGAAGAAATAGAAGACGAAAGGGTCATATAGTTAATTAATAAATGATCGAGAATCATATTTCGTAAAAGATACAGTTTAATTAAAGAAATACTCAATGAAGATAAATCTTCTTTGTCTAAGATAATTCATGTTACTTATATGAGGAATGTAAGGGAAGTCTAATATAGGATTATTGTTACTTTGGTTCTAAGACATTTCTCATGATATCTCAAGTCAATGAATTGTAGGATTTGTAGGAGACTAATAAGATGGTTTGATTAAAATACCAAAATGTTACCTTTTGACAGCTATATGTAATGCCACCGTGCTATACCACTACTTGCTTACTTACGCCTGTTACCCCCAATGGAACATAGGCCGCCAACCATCATTTTCCAACCCACTCTATCCTCGGTCTTCATTTCCAGTTCTATCCAGTTTTTATCCGTTCTTCTCATGTCTACCTCCATTTCTCGGCGTAATGTGTACTTTGGTCTTCTCCTTCGGCCTTGAGGATTCCATGTGAGGGCTTGTCTGGTGATGCAGCTGGGTGCTTTCCCCAATGTGTGTCCTATCCACTTCCAGCGCCTCTTCCTGATTTCTTCCACCGCTGGGATCTGGTTTGTTCTTTCCCACAGTTGGTTGTTGCTAATAGTGTCCGGCCAACGGATCCGAAGTATTTTGCGTAGACAATTGTTAATAAAAACCTGTATTTTCTGGATGATGGCTTTCGTAGTTCTCCAGGTTTCTGCCCCATACAGTAGAACTGTCTTGAACTTTTGTATTGAAAATCCTGACCTTGGTGTTGGTTGACAGTTGTTTTGAGTTCCCGATGTACTTCAGTTGTAAATATACTGCTCTTGCTTTACCGATCCGCGCTTTCACATCTGCATCAGACCCACCATGTTCATCAATGATGCTGCCCAAATATGTAAAGGTTTTTACATCTTCCAAATCTTCTCCGTCAATTGTGATTGGATTGATGCATGCTGTGTTGTATTGGAGAATCTTGCTGCTGCAACACTGATCGTCTTCTCCTGCATCTGTTGTTGAGTTTGCGATAGGAGGTCCAGATCATCTGTGAAGTCTAGATCGTCCATCTGCATCATAGATGTCCACTGTATTCCGTGCTTCCCCTCAGATGTTGACGTCATGATCCAGTCGATCACCAGGAGAAAGAGGGAGGGTGAGAGTAAGCAACCTTACCTGACACCGGTCTTTACTTCGAACGAATCTGTGACCTGTCCTCCATTCATGATTTTGCAGTTTAATCCATCATAGGCATTCCGTATGATATTGACTATCTTCTGAGGCACGCCGTAGTGTGGAAGAAGCTTCCATTATGTTGTCCTGTCCACGCTATCAAATGCTTTCACGTAATCAATGAAGTTAGTGTAGAGTGGTGAACTCCATTCATACACAAAATTTAATTGATCTTAACTATAATCCAAGTGACATTAAAATGATGATGAAGAAGTATTTCAAAAGAAATAAACTGAATTATAATGGCTCTGCTTCCTAAATGTTTAACTATTAATTATCATAGCTTTTATCATGATATACAGTAAATGATGTGTATAAAATTTATACTAGAAATTTGTTACTAAACTATTACTAAGAATTTACTGAATTCTTTTTTCTTTTCAATTAATAATAAACTATACTTTGCTTGACACTTACCTACGATTTTGAAACCATGTTTTAATTTGTGTCTCAGTTAGATTTAATTCATTTGATAATTCTATCCGTCTGTTTAGTTTTAAATATTTATCTTTCTAAAATTTAATTCAAAAATAGGCAAATAGTTTCATTAAATAAGAATCTTTTACCAATTAATTTATATCAGAAGGGGTTTTGTGGATATTATAGTAATTTTAATAGTTGAGATCATGAGTCAATTAAAGCTAGACCACCATGGAAAACATGGAAGCACTGGACCGTCTCGCGCGCAAACGCTTAACCTCTAGGCCCTGAGTTCGAACCACGCGAGGTGTAATCTTGGATGCGCACTGTTGAAGAGTCTCACAATAGGACGAAACGGCTATCCACTGCCTTCAGATTTTTCATGGTGGTCTAACTTCAATTGACTCATGATCTCAACTATTAGAATTACAATCCAAATATGTTTAGATGACTAATGTCAATTAATAGATAATTCCCATTTAAATATTAAAAACACGAAGTTCAGTGAAGGGATCCCTTTTCAACAAATTTATTATCAAGTTGTACAATAAAATGAATGAGTGTGTAAATTGAACTCATCCTGTAAAAATCTTTTTGTTAATTATTAACAAATGAAACTAAACTGAGAATAAATGATCGATCAGTTATTATTTTTTCAACTACGCTTTTATAAGTTGAAGTTTAAAATTTATTTATTTAAACACATAAACATGAGTACAAGGAGACACCAAATATAAATGCACCACATAAATCATTCGATTTTTGTGTGGGCTCGGATACTGTTCGGCTGCCCAGACCGAAGCAGATGGTTTTTTAGGGGACCACACCCGGAGCCTTCGACCTAAAGGTATGATCCACAAGGTAGTGGAACAACGTCAGGAGATTCAGTCCCATGGTAGCCGATGACCAACAATTGGTTCATACATCATTCGTCCTATCAAAATCCTAGAGCTAATGTACATCATTGGTTTGGAATCAGTGTTTTCCGACTCCCCTATGTTGACCCTTCGTGTCCACCAACCCGGTTAAAGTACGTCCTCTTAATTTCGTAAACAACACCTCAACCGTGAGAAGGCGGTGAGTAGGACTTTCCTAGCAATGATTGTATGCACGTGGCCATGTGAGAGCATTTCGAAAGAGAGAGCTGACTCTCACCAATCTCGATCAGGGCATTTAGGGGCGAAGTAACCTGAGTGAAAATATTAATGCCAAAAAAAGGAGCTAAGAAGATTTTAGACCTTTAAAATGAGATCACACTATTGCTATTTCATAGACTATTATTTCAGTGGCATGTACACCATTTGAAATATTTTTTGTAAAACTACAATGAATGTTTATAAAAGTAGCTAAACAATGATTTCTCTATGCTCAATAAGTATTAGCCAATTCGACTTACATAATACGGATTCAAAACCATTGGTATTTTTATCAGCTAATGCGATCAAATATCAACAAGACAAACTGATTCACGTCATCATTTCCAAATAAACTGATTAATATTCCATATGGTAATCAAAAGACTGATGATCTATATTCTATCTTATCTACTGTTCTCATAAATTATTTGAAAAACCTAATATCTTATTGAAATTTTCATGATTACTATATAACTTCAAAAGAACATGAATCCAAATTTTCTTTCACTGAACTCATCATAATTATAAACTTACAACTACAATTAGAAAATTCGAATATATTCAGTTTGCTTTGTAAAATAATACACATTTCAGTTGTATTTCATAAAAATTACATTTGAAGTTGATATTTAATATATATTCACTTGGTGTTGTTTTACTTGTATCTTCTCATTGTTATTCGGGACTGCAATTGATCAGTCTCTTATTGGTATATGTGCATCCTGTGTGAATTGCCTCGATATAACCTTAAGTCACAAGCTTATTAAATACAGATGGATAGTGGTTAGTAGTGGAATCTAGGATGCGCGTTTCATCCCATTTGGGACTCGTCAACTGGGTGTATTTGCATCCCGGAGTTGACGTTCACTCCGTGACTCGAACCCAGTAACGTTCGCTTCAAATGCCATCGTTTTATTCACTTACCTACTGAGCCCTGATAGCCACGTACTTGTGCAATGGGGTGAAGTTTAAATTCACTTGGTGTTGTTTTACTTATATCTTCCCATTGTTATTTAGGACTCCAATTGTTATATATATATATATATATATATATATATATATATAAGAATGATAACAATATTCAGTAATATCGTATTAGTGAAGTTTTAAGTCATGAATTACAATTATGTTCATTGTTGTTTGTTTGTTTTAATGTTTATTTCAATTTTTATGTAATTTCAATGAGAATTATTTAGTCTATTGTAAATAAATTTACATTTTCGTGCATAGTTTAAAATGAAAATTTTATTTAGAATTTATGTTTTTTAAATATTAAAATTATTGATTTAATATACAACACAGAATATGAATTACATGATGAAAAATTGGACAAAGACTACGGATGAGATACAGTTTTGTATTCAATTTTAGAGATCACATTGATTGATTATTGACTAGTAACCAATATGATTTTTATGAAATGATCACTTTATAACTTGATCGATCAAATTTGGTTAACACTTAATGACTAGACAAACATAATCGGGGTTAATGCTTATTAACCAGTCAGTGTTAATATATCATTCCTATATAAGGTTGTAGTGAATGAAAATGTAGTGAAGATAACCAATTTATTGTTTAATGCAAAATCAGAGTGCCTTGGTAGAATATAAAAACCATAAATTGAATATATCATCGCACACCTTCCATCAGTTGCCCTCTACACACTTATTCCGATTTCCCTCTGTTTCCCTTCCCGTTCTCTTCAGTTCGATCTTGTCAGTCAAGCATTCGACTTCTGATTAGTGTTACATAACACATATGTGTCAACATAAGTAGCATGCACCACAAGGTGAGCTGTGACCCAGATAACTTGGTGGTGACTTCTCTGACTGAGAAACTGGATTAAGCAAGCCTGAAAGCTACGTAAAGTATTAATTACTTCGAAATTTCAAGCATACGTCAGTGACAAATGTTTACTCGTTCAAAGCTTCAATCTAACGGTTCCTGTGATTGCCTTTAGCTACCGAACACCATCGAGCATCATCATCCATAAGTTTTAGTAATATATGGATTCAACTAGGTCAGAGAATGATAGTTGTGTTATGTTGAGGATTGGCGAAGGTTATGGGTATAGATTACTGGATTTTGACCCAGTTATCTACATATAATGACTTCATTACAAGAAACAAAGGTATATTGCATGATATTATGTTGATCTGAGGGTTGATAGAGCTAAAAAGATCTAAATTAAAAATAAAACAGTTATCCAATATTTTCTGTTTTTTTATTCTTTATTGATATCCCTTCGTAACAAAACTTACTACTACTTTTTATAGTTACTGATAAAATATAATATTTTAGTCGTACGAAAATAATAATGTCAATGTAACTCAATAAAAGCAGTGGATAACCGTCTGTGCTATCTTCAAAGCTGACACAATTAATCTCCACTGGTTACGGCTTCTTATAAGGACTCCGGAAATCACCCACTGAAGCTGGTCATTAGTGAGCCCGTAATCATTTGCAGAACGAGGGGTTGTGGAAATTGTTGAACCGTACCGAAATTACCAACCTGTCTAAGCTGAACAACCCTTGAAAATATGGAAGCAATGGATGCTCAATTCGTCCCAGTTCGGGACTACTCAGCAGTGGTTGTCCACAACTTCGTTACCAGAGCTCGAACTCAGAAATACAAGTTCTTCATGAGAACACCTAACCTCTAGACCAAAGAATCTGGATGCAATGATGTACAAATGTAATTTCAATCAGTCCATCTCCCATTACTTTCGGTGGACAGCTACTTCTTCCCCCAAAACTGAAATTTCCGGGTTCAGTCCACCGCGACTAGTTTCTGGATGAGCTATAAACTAAAACAAAACAGACGTCTTTTGCTTCCTGGTCTTTTATTTATAAAATTTAGCATAAATGTTAATAAAATAATACTTTTGATAATAATTTGCTAGCTAACAGATAAGTAATTTTCAAGGGAAATGAAATATTTTAATTTTAGTGAGTTTTTATTCAGAGTGAAATTTGAGTAGAAAATTCTTACTCTCATCAGGAAGCTACATTCATGATCACTTAAGACTGCTAAATGGTTACTTAGAGAAGTGAATTTGTACAACTTAGTACTACAATTGTGGTGTGTGTTGTCACTAAGTTACTTCAACTAGATAGTAAGGATGCTCCACGTTGTTTACTTTGGAGCCTACTAGAAATGAATTCAAGTTGACCAGTCTAAATCATTTTGTAAACTTTGAATAGAAAATAACCATAGACAGGTTCTTTGGTTAATCTAATTGAAATAATTTTGCATGTTGTTTGAAATTTTAGGTTAAATAAAATATTGAAATTTGTGAAGCCGTTTGTAAATGAAATTATGACTTATTTACTTCAAAGAATAAAGTTACAACATACTTCAAATTCTGTTTCTAAACGTTCAAGTTGATCTGTTGTATAAGCTTGTCTATGTTTACGTTCGAATTCAAATGTTTGATTAGTTTTAGGTAGAAAGCTTTTACGAAATTTTCTTTTTATCAACCGTTTTTCATTGTAAATATTTGCTTTTGTATTTGCATCAGATTTCAAACACCATTTTTGTGATAGATCATCATCCGATTTAACCATATCAACCATACTTGTATAACTGTCAGAAGATTCACAACCGAATAGATAATTTGGTTTGGAAAATTGATTACTACTATGACAACTACTGCTACGTTGATGATAATCCTCAGTTGCAATAATTGGCTTACAACTGAATTCCAATTCTTTGAATATTATAGGCCATAAGTTACGCTGGTGTTTGGATCGATTAGTTTGGTTAATTTTCGAAGATGATAGATCTAGAACTTCTAGAATTAAGTTAGTAACCAGTAGAGCTTGATTTTCTGTTATAAAAATATATATTTATGTGATGTAATTTGTTACATTTATTCTTATTATAATGAAAACGTTAATCATATTTAATAAAATAAAAATAACATTCTTAACATTCATTTGGTGTTGTTTTACATGTATATTCCCATTGTTATTCAGGACTGCAATTGATCAGTCTCTTGTTGGTATATGTGCATCCTGTGTGGATTGCCTCGATATAGCCTTAAGACACAAGTTTTTCAAGCCAAGATGGATAGTGGTTAGTAGTGGAATCTAGGATGTGCGTTTCGTCCTATTTGGGACTCTTGAGCTGGATGTACCTGCATCCAGAGTTGACGTTCACTCCGTGACTCGAACCCAGTAACATTCGCTTCAAACGCCACCGCGTTATCCACATAGCTGCTCGGATACATATTCATCGATCTGACGAGTCCCAAGTAGGACGAACACGCGTCCTGATTTCCACTGCTAGCCACTATCCATCTTAAAATATTCCTAATATTTCACTAAATAAACGTAACTGTACACTTGCCATTATCGAGTGTTAATCTTCTTCAGTTTTCCAATCAACTACTTTATTTCCAGAACATCTCTTCGACAATAAAAAGTTGATGGTTTGTGTGACGTAACCTCTTCAAATAAATTATTCATGTCTACACATCTTTACTGCTATTGCTTCTGTTTGACAGCATTTTTTCTTTAGTTAATAATTGAGTTACATAAGCGTTTTTGTTATATATTTTAACTAGTACTTTCATTAAGATAACCTTCTGTAACAAGCTGTCTTATCCGTAAAAGTTGCCCATGAAATTTACAAGAGAACTTTATTCCACGTAAAAGCATCCGGCCTTATGATGCATATACTGTTTTTGTAAGAAGGGATAATAACTGAATATTTGTATTACAGCTGGTATAACTTTAGATTGTTAACGAAGAAGGCTTCGGTTTCTTTCCACGACCAAGCCTCTTTTTTAACTTCAGTAACTAATCAGTATTCCTCATATTTTAAACCAGTCTTTACACGAACATTTTTCATCCTCAATCTCGTATAAAAATCCTCACTATGAATTCAGACCATGAAATAAGCTCTAAAATACTATTCGGTGTTTATCAATGAACCAGGTGACTTAGTTTATTATTTGAACAACATACTAAACTTCAGTCATTGTCAGAAGAATTAATACAGTTGGCAAAATCTAATGTAGATAGGTTTAAGATTTATCTGCCGCCATCAGCAACATTAACAACGTTGAGACCCACCATATCTCATACCTGAATATCATCCCATCAGTTAATAATAGATGACCGCTTAAAACTCGCTTAACACAGAAACTAAGTCACTGAACAAGTAACTTAGTGGCAGCACTTTGTATTCATGTTATGAGTTCTATAAAACGTAACAGCTGATTGTAGAGTTTCAGTACTGATAGGCTGTGATAATCTATACACATAGGGCGCTCTTAAATTCTTGTGTTTTTGTATTTGTCTGCTTGTAAACTTTTATGTGGTTTATAAACTATGTTGTACTTTGTACTACCAATAAGTTACTGTTAATTTAATACGAGCCTGCTAATCAGTTCCTCCACACTTACGGCTTGGTATGCTCATATTGTAACTTTTTAACTATGTTGATGTGTTGTCATGGTTTTACTCAATATTATTATATGACGATTCATAAGTTTAATTTGTCTAAATAAAGGTTTTAACGCATTGTGCTGTGTTTTATTCAGTTTACTAGTCGAGCGAGAGTTGGAGAACTATGTTCTGAACCAATAGTCGTTAATTATTGATTACTGCTATTTTCCCATTACTTTCGTGCTATCATTGGTTAGCAAAAGGACCTTGGTACTAGACAGGCAGTTTTAGTGAATTAATCAGTGCTCAGACCAGATTAATACAACTATTCTTCTATATTACTATATGATCACATGAATGACAAAACAACTCAAAAAAATCTTTTTCCGTCTCATCAGGTTCATAGAGACGAATGTATATGTATCTGCGACCTGTTTGTATTATGCTTCGGTTTTGTAGTTAAAACCTGATAGTCATTCTTCACTCTTCCCCTTCACTTCGTCGGTTGGGAAACGTATCAACCTAATCGAATGTCTTAATAACGATAGTAAAATGTGTGAAACTTGGGACCATCAACTTATAACAATAGTCTGTCAGCTCCAATCTGTTATTGCTACTAGAATTCTTTTAAAAGAAACTAAATATTCTTTGTCCAACTTACTTGAAGATTTTTTTCTTTAAACTGCAACTAAAAAAGAACCTTATAAACTCTATTCTGATTCTCATGACTTGAATGAATGAATTCTCAATTAAGTAATAGTATATAAAGTACTTTGAAATTGTAGATAACTGAGTTCAATTTCGAACACCATAGTTATTTGAATACTCTAAAATGATTTTTCAGCCAAAAACAGTGCATTATATGGAAGATGACAGATTTGGCCGATACCAATATTTAGGCAAGCATAAATCCAGATAATTATACAACCAGTATAGAGTTGTGGAGATTACTAGGTTATTGATTGAGATCTTAAACTGATTGATGTTAGACCACCATTGAAAACCTCGAAGCACTGAATGGTCGTTTCGTCCTATTGTGGGAGTTCTCAGAAGCGCACATCTACGATCCCGTTCACGAGATTTGAACCCAGGGCCTTCAGTCTCGCGCGGCTCATTGGTCAAGTAGGTTAAGCGTTTACGCGTGACACTGAAGGCCCTGTGTTCGAATCCCGCGAGCAGGATCGTAGATGTGCGCTTCTGAGAAGTCCCACAATAGGACGAAACGGCCGTCCAGTCCTTCCAGGTTTTCAATAGTGTTCTAACATCAATCTGTTCAAGATCTCAATCAATTATACAACCTCCAGCTTAATATTTCCAACTTCGCCTATTATTACTTTCCTTTCAAATTTTCTGACTTAGATGATACAATAAATTGCAAACATATTCACATTAAATGATGGATTCAATTTGAAGAATTCTTCAATTCAATATTTATTAATTTACTTACTTGGACAATTATGTGAAGAATTTTTCTCAGTATCATTTACTAATAACAAACTGTTATCATTATCATCTTTACATTCAACATCTTCAGATAGTTTAGGTTGTGAAAAATTATCTTCGTTAGTCTGTTTGGAAATCATTAGGTTGAAAAGTTTTAAAAATTCTTCTTTTAATTGTTTATCATTAATAGAATGATGATGAGGATAATAATAATAATCTGCTAAACAGTTATTATTGCTACTTAATCTAACTTGATTTTCAGTCTCATTTTGTGTTGGTTGACTGAGTGATTGATTATTCAATTCTAACTTAAATAAATTTGATAGATACTTTGTGTAAACCTTTGGATTCAATAAGTTTAATGAGTTGGAACACAATCCTATTTGTATTTCATAGTTTTTATGCTTAACAGCATGATCATGATCTATGAATGAAATAGTATGTTGAATACTGTTGGATAAATCCAAGTTATTTGATGTGAAATTATTTATTGTAGAAACTGTACATTGTGGATTTTGACTTAATACAGAACTGATGAAATATGTAACTAAAGGAGTAGACTAGAAATAATGATTAATTTTTATAAATATAGAATAAGCGTAACTTACATCAATTGAAGAGCTATTTAGTGTAATTGATGATTTTTCGATAGGATCTTGAAGAATTTCAGTAATCATAAATTTATTAGACATCTGTAAAAGAAAATAATTAGCTCTACATTATAAACTGTATGACATAATCATGTTTGTATGTTGGCAATGAACGCCTATATTTAATTATTGTAAATGATATATATATATATATATATATATATATATATATATTCACGGTTGATTGATCACTGGGTAGTGGTCAATGTCATGTAGTTAAGTTAAACCCTGTAGAAATTGTGTATAAATCCATTCATTCATAAGTAAGTAATCAATAATTTTAGTTTTAGCTATTCAATTTCACTTTGATGCGATATCTTCTAGTTGTAATCCTGTACCGGAAAACTTTATATGATGATTTCCCAGAGTAAATCATAGATTGTATGAATAACTACTCGAATATAGACGTTAGTTGATTTTTGAGTACTAGTTGAAATATACTAATAAGATAAATTGTAGAAAAGTGTAGTGAATTAAACCTAGTTAAAAATGCACACTATTGAATGCCACCTTAGTGGTCTAGAGTTAAAGCCCTCACCACGAAACCTGAAAGTTTTGAGTTCGATCCCCAGCGGTGGTGTTAGTGGTACGTACGGCTTAAGATCAGCTATCCAGTACATCCTAGTTTTCAATGATTATTTAAATAAGAAAAATACATGGTTTGACCTATGGAAATTGTCAAACGTATTTTTAGGAAAACTGGAAGTATCTCAGTAATTGTTATTTTCATATTGACCCTCTCTAACAGTGGACACTCGTTTACTCGAATTGACAGTGTTTAAAACTGGGATCAAAGATATTATCGTTACTACCGGCGAACAAGTAGCCATAGTTTTCTGTCTTAGATTCAATAACATGTAACACATTCTGGTATATGTAAGCAAGTTCACGAGTGTTGTCATTTTTTAAATCATACCTCCATTCACCCAAATTAACTTGAAGACCTTCTAGGGTTACAGCCAGTCCCAAACGTATATATCAAAGAAGGGTTGGGCGTGGGGTTAGCAACCGCATCCCATAGAAAAGAAACTTCCCAAAAGACTCTAACCATAAAAATTATTTAGTCATTTAAATTCTGCTTTGGGAGTTGAAAGGTCTTTATTTAGAAAAGTTATGACTCCTATTAGTGAAAGCTGAGACTTTTACGACAGTCGCAAGTTTGATGCTCCTTCTGACAGCTATTGTAATATAGGTACATGGAATACAAATAGCATATGCGGAAAAAATGAAGATGAAGACAGATAGTGTAGCAGTGGATTCCACAGAGAAAAGTATCAACATTCACAAGGATAAGATCAAGATCCTGAGACATAACGAAGCGAGAGTCAACCAAATCACACTTGATAGAGGAAATCAACAATAATTGGAAGCATTCACAAAAGTCGACGCTACCACTGGTAAACAAGAAGGACCTCATGTTAGTGTCAAGAGGCGAATCAACAAAACGCTGCCAACATTCCTACAATCGAAGAACAAAACAACTATCAACCAACACTAAAGTCATAAATTTTGACACAACCATTAAAACAATTCTACTGCATACAACTGAACCTGAGATAACTCCCAGTACCAACACCTAAAATCCACATGTATTTATAAACAGCTGTCCATTTAATATACTCCATATCCATTCTCGAGAGACGATAGTTATTTATTCAGATGAATGAACTTTAAATTCCTTTAAACAGATTTACTAAATTTCATGGGTACTCAATGGTGGTTTCAAATCATCAGACCATTTTACAAACAATTATTCATATATTTAATCATTACTTGGTGATAAAGCTAATCAACTAGGGTAAATAAATACAGTATTCATGAGCTAAGAGTTGATATAGTAATCTGATTTTGGTTGAATTTATTCCTTCTAAAGTAATTTGATAGGTTAACAGATAACTATATCATCATGTGTAAGAATGAGCGGCAGTCATTTGACTTATACAATTACATAAATTTCCTCTCAATTTCAAACAGTCGCCATTAAGTAAACACGCATCATGTTGGGCGATTTCACTCAGTTGTTTTATTAAGCAGTTCTACTTGGAGTTTTATAACCTATAAATTATTTGGAATGACCAATTTTGTTGAACAGATCGGTTTCTCATAGCAAGTTTATTATTTAACTACTTGTATAATTATAATAAGTAGTTAAAATTCACAAGTAAAAATGTGATACAAATCTAAAGAGAAGTTTGTTAACATAATTTAGTGTTGTCTGTATTTCAGTAGATATAATCCACTCTATTAGTTAAAAAATTTAAAAGTTTAAGATAATGAACTTTTGATACTTTATCGCCTAAGAAATCATTTTTCTGTACTTATTTAGAGTCATCTTGGTCATAGCTGATGCAAGAAAGTTTAAGCAATCTCCTATGAGGATCAATATTCACAAAGTGTTTTACTACATAGCTAAAGTGAGATCTGCTTTCTTACTTTACTAATGTGAATCGTTTTGTAAAGTATTTCGATCATTTTTTTAGAAATACACAGTAATAAATTCAGGCTCATTGTTAAGTTCTTTTCAAATTGAAATACAGTTAGAGAACAGGATAAGATTTTTCAACTTAGCAATGTAAAAAGCGATTCTCTGTATTCTAGTAGGGCCTTTTCCAGATTATATTTACTGCAGAATCACTCAAAATTAGTTGACAGAATATATTTTTTCTTGAATGAGGTGTCTATTATAACGACAAAACAACCGCCTAATAAAATACTTCTATGAATCCATTATAAATGACTTAAGTTGATTAAATAGATATTTTGTTTTAGATTCCAACTGAACGAATAATAAAAGTTAAATTAACTATAGAAGAAAAAAACCAAGAATATTTATAATAGAATATAATTGTCATTTATATCGAAGTAGCCAGCCAATATATTATAATGAATTATTTATCGGATAAGAACTTTCAAGGGTGTAACTCTACATTTTATGTTATTTTATTAAAGTAAGCTATTATATTTGAAAGGAAAGTGGAAACGAACATTGAATGGTTTGATCATATTTGTCTTAGATCAAATAAAGGTTAATTTTATATATATATATATATATATATATATATATATATATATATATATATATATATATATATATATTCATTCATTTCCTTTTAACTATATAATTAAAATGACTGAATCAAAGCTGTGATTGCCTTCAATATACCATGTATGTTGAAAATAATAAGTCACAGTAATTCACTAGAACAAATTCGATTTACTTGCCTTGATGATTTTAGTAAGAAATGGTACTGTTAATATTAAAGGTTAATAAATAAAAAGAAATTATTCACAATTAATGTTGAATTTTCCCAAAGTAAATTTGACATACCTCAAAAAACCATTATTGTCTTGACAACAAAATCCAGTTGTAAATACTTAATGAGAATTAACGTAATGCAGAATTAAAATTCACATAAGGTTTATTTTAAGTTGTGTTTTTTTTCATTATTGTACCTTCCTATTCACACTTACTTGCTTCTTCATTCAATGTGTTCCATGATTTACCGATCTTTTCAACTAACCTAAACACCCACCTCCTTGCTCCTATAAAATGTTAATCAAGCTAAGATTTGTGTCAATAGGGTAAAAGAAGAATTTTCATATGTCTTTCGTATATTAAAGGAAATACAAATACAAATATCATTGGATAGAGGAATTTATTATCTTCTCTCTCTCTCTCCGTTTCGTGAATTCTGCTTAGTATTAGCCAATAAGCAATGCTAAATTAATTTACCTGTAATAAGGTAGGAAACGAAGAATAACTTTTGATTTTGAGATAGCTCTCGCCGCTGATTTCATCACTGAAAATCCCGGAGTACTGAACGACTGTTTCACCTTAGTCTGAGACCCCTCAGTAATAGACACCTGTTTTAGTGAAGTCATTCTGCAACGAAACGTTTATATTAAAGCCCAAACTTTTATAATGGGCTATACTTGTTAACAGAAAACTGAATAAAGTTATTTGTGATCACGGAAAATGAAAGCTAATTTGTTGACGAAAGTTTAGAAATATCAAAACTGATCACTTCACAGGTTCTTCAAATGGGATACGATGTATTTTGCTTTATACAGAGTTTATAGGTTGATTCATTCTATTTTATTCAAATACCTTTTTGAAATGTTTGACTTTGATGTGAATGTTTAATTTTAAGGTTACCTTAAAATATTAAAACGAACTCTTTTGTCTAATAACATACAGGAAAATGTATACATCTCATAAGTTAATTTAAACTAAAATTAAACTATTGTTCAACTATCTATAGGTTCTTCCCAATGATTTAAAGTTGTATTTCTTTTTTCTTGTTACAAAATAAACTAAAATCGAAAATATATTAGATGGCTGAAGAAAGCCGATAGGTACGATCGTATCTAGGTTTTACATTAAAGTATGGTTTAGTTTAGTTATCGATTTAGTCCTCGTGTAAATTGAAAATTCATTATGTGATCGAACGTGTTCTATTACAATTGTTGGTATTTTTGACTACTGAATTTAGGATTTTACATTACTTAAAACTGTATTTGTAATTAAAATGAACCATATGTAGACGATTCAAAAAGCTTCACAATACTTATGGATCTACAAGTACAATGATCTTTCGCTTCACAATTAAGAATGCTTTATTGGTAAAGAAGATAAATGGTCACAAGGAATACATAACCTCACAGAGAAAATAAAAACAGAAGACACAAATTATCAGTCATGGAAAGCAACTGTTTGCGTCAATGATAATTAAATGTGAGTATGGAGGTTTGTGGAAGTTACTCACTATTATTGAGATCACGAACCGACTTAACGTAGATAACTATTGAAGACCAGGAATCCCTGGACACTTTTTTCGCCCTAGTATGGGACTTTCAACAGTGCATATCAGCAACCCCGGCGAGGATCGAACTCAGGATCATCATGTCTCGTGGCGAGAGTTCAACCTTTAGATCAATCAATTCGAGACATTGTAAAACCATCTTCAATTGTCTTTGATGGATAAATGACCGGTTATATATTATCAGAAACTGTTTTTTCCGGCTGGTGAGTAGATAGATAATTAAAGCAAATGTCTTGCTTGATAAAACTCCGACCGTGACACACTTAAACAGGGTTTGGGATGAGTTGCTAACATATATCTTTTAGAAAAACATTGATCATTAGTGACTTTTCCTACGGTTCTTAATAGTAGTCCTTGATATCACCTTAGATTCTTTTGAAATACATCTTTGTCATTGCTACCCATTCAGTTTGAGAAAATTATAGTGCATGTCTAAAAGTAGTGTTTAGTCTTTCAGAACCATGTAATAAGCTTCATTATAAGGATTATCATAGAAATACTACTGACTACTGACAAATGCCCTGGTACGGCCGAGAGTGGGGAGAGTCCGCTCTCCCTCTCGAAATACTCTCACACGGCCGCGCGTATACAGCCTCTGCCAGGGAAGTCCTACTCATTGCCTTCTCGTGGCGGGGGTGTTGTTTACGAAAATGAGAGGACGAAAAGCGAATGTCCGGCGCTTTAACCGGATTCCAAACCAATGGTGCACATGGGCTCCAGTATCCTGTGGGAACAAATGGCGTATGAACCAATTGTTAGTCACCGGCTTCCACGGGACTGCATCTCCTTACTATGCCCCACTGCCTTGTGGATCAGACCTTCAGGTCGAAGGCTCGGGGAGTGGCCCCCTAAGAAAACCACCTACTTCGGTTTGGGCACCCGGGCAGTATCACAGCTCTCACACATATCGAGTGAGATTTGTGTGGCGCATATGTATTTGGTGCCTCCTTGTACCAATATCTATGTGTTAAAATAAATAAATAAAAACTACTGACTAATGATTGATCTCATTGCTAGGCTTCTAAAAATTCCCCCGTTCAACTGTCCTTGTTGTTCCCATTTGGTTTCATACTACCAATCGTTCATACTCATTACTAAAAGCGAAAATATGTTGTGGTCCTTAACAACTGACTAACATTCATGTAATCAAAAAAATACATCAAAATAGACGCAATCTATCAGACAATTCAAAAATGATAAGCAACTACAAGATCATAGATCAGGTTATAGGAGAAGACGATCAAAATAATTATGTTAAGAGTAACAGCAAAACTATGGACAATAACTAACCAGTCTCCCTGGTAACAAAAAAATGCTAATCACTTGGTTAGAAATTCGAATAGATCAATTAACCTTGAAGTGTATGTTGATAATTCTGTTTAAAAAGACAATAAATGCTTGTTGAATAATGCATCAAATTCAGAGAATACAACTACAAATTTCTCCTCCTCATTTTCAGATATTCTTTGTCATCTCAAAAATTTGAAAGCCAGTTGTTGTCTAGTGCATTTCACCTAAAATCTGTGTGATTGATTAATTGTGAAATTTTTGTAATTATCGATGAAAAAAATGACAGTTAGTTACAATAAACAAATTTAATTTGAATATCTGATGCTTCTTATTTCCCTGAATTCTAACAAGTTTTGGTTTTGTAAGAAATACTTTATAAATGTTGAAAAACAAACTTGTATCAATTTGATCATCCCTATGAATTGGTATGCATGTTCTACGAACTTTTACATGATATATTGTTACATAACTAACGTGATGCGTGCTAATTATATTGATATAAGTAGTACAGTATGCGAGTCAGGAATGTAATGTCCGGCAGCAGAAGATGAGGAAAGATCAATAAAACAAGAGCGGGAATAGAATGCAATTTGTATGAAAAGGCAAGGGCAATGAAGTCTGAGGCATTTTGGAACAATTGGTGGACATTTTGCAAATTAACGATTTGATATATAGTTCTCAGATTTTATTGAGACGCTCTGTAATTTTGTGTCAAATACATTCGGTTGTCCCCACCCGTGTTCTTGATCACGACACTAACACATATATCGATTAAACACACCAGTGATTTTGAGTTATTAAAGAAGTTGATGAAATCAATTATGTAATGCATGTAAAATATACTTAAATAACATTTGTATTTGTCAATAAATTACTCGAAAGTTTCAAGTTAAAAAAAACTTAACAAACACTGATCAAATGAAATAAATAAAATCGATCATCTACTTTGTTGAACATTTCATCTAGTTGAACTTACATATCAGATTCCTCAGTGATAATCGTTCATGTTTAATTCTATGGAGTTATTCAGATTGACTTTAAAAAATCTTTACCAATTAAAACTATTTTTAGAAATCTAATTGCCTAGTTATTTAAATAACCAGTTCAAACTATTCATCTGAAAGAAAGCAACACTGAGAAACTAATCCAATTAAGTTGAAAAGTTCTCCCTATCAACATTTCATTCATACAGTGTTTATTACATACACTTCGCGTACCCTACCATATATCAAAGCTCCAAGAAAAACTTATGTCCGTTAAAATGAATAGATTTTCGCATATTACAAATAATTATTGAAAGAAGTTTATATATATATATATATATATATATATATATATATATATATATATATATCATTTACATGGTTGGTATTCCGATCATAGATGTAGAATATCTTGTGACCACTATTTATTATTGTTATTTAAATAATTGTGGTCCTGTAACAAATTCAAGTTAGTAAATCTGCTTGAGACAAACTAAAAATGTTCGCTCATCATAATCTGCCATTACTATCATTATTAACAGAATTATTAGTTTTTCTTAGATTATTGCTATTACTGTTGTAATTAATACTAGTAGTAATAATAGTAGTACTAATAGCATGATATAATGGAATAAACAAATTGGCAAACTATGTTTCAGTTTTAATTCCATGGGAAATTTTTCAACATACTTCCAGATGAATAAAATTATTTATTCTTCTCATATATATATAACAAACTGTCTTTTAGTAGGCCATGAGAGAAGAAGCTCAAAAACAAAACTAAGATGAAATTAAAACTCCGTATAAGACAGAATATGAGTTTAATTGCCTCATTATAATGAAATGGAAAAAAGCAGACATTTTCCCACTGAATAATGATCAGATTTTTTAAAATCTTATTCAAAATGATAGTGATAGCGATGACAACGACAACAACAGTAAGAACGATAATCGTGATGTTTTTTTAGAGTAAAAACATAACGAAAAAAACACAAACATCATAAAAACAGAAACAATTTACCTGGATGATTTATTATTATTGTTAGTTGTTTGTTGCATATTTGATGGATAAATGTAATAATATTTAGTTTTGTGGTCTATTACTGCCTTGTATCTCTTTAACATGCAAGCATTTTAAGGAGGGATGAAATGAAAGTCTTTGTATATATGGAGAGAGAGAGACTATGATGTTACATTTCGCTTATTAACGCTTGTTTAAACAATTCATTTATAGCCATCTGTTCTTGTGAGAACCAAGGAATATGTTTAGATTTCTTTTTTTAGTCTGTGAGTTGAAAAAACAAGATGGAGGAAAACGATTTAAATAGAAAGGGAAAACTAAGACGCCATTAGTAGTATATAATTACAACATAATAGTTTTACGACTTTGTATGACCAGTAAATTGATACACATAAAGTTACTATTTCTCCCCAAAATACATCAGTCTATATCTAGCTTTTATAAAAAAAAGTTTTGTTTTTTTCCACATAAAACTCAAATATTTTAAAAATGAACAAAACATTTCAATAACTTCAAGACCGTAAACATGGCGTGAATAGCCTTGATGCGGAAGTGTACTTTTCATATTTTTCCGAAGCTTATATCACAAACCGAGAGTGAGGCTTAAGTGGAATGCAAAATGACAAGATAATCATCGCACACTGATTCTTTGTATATGCTAATCACAGTCAAAGTTTGATGCTGTTCACATTCAAACATTGGGAGATAAATAAAATAAATCCCCAAGTTATGACTACAAAAAGACTTCTCAAGAAAATGTATTCTAGTAGACAATGAGAGTAAAGCATACAGTACAAGTTTAAATTCATTTTAAATCTCGACTAGATTTGGATCAAAAATGTGAGATGATGGAATACGTTACGACTGTGATTGTTATAGAAACTGTGGATTAAGTGCAACAAAAAAGGACATAATCACTCTGCTGTCAATAGTCAGTATTTTCAATCACACCGGTACCATTATTCCCACTTATTAGTAGCGAGATATAGTAAGAATGAGTGGTCTCAATGATCATCGTGCTCAAATTATTATTATTATTATTATTTCAACACATACATAATGGTACAAAGAGGCATCAAATACATATGCACCACACAAATCTCATTCGATATGTGTGAGGGCTGTGATACTGCCCGGGTGCCCAGACCGAAGCAGGTGGTTATCTTAGGGGGCCACACCCCGAGCCTTCGACCTGAAGGTCTGATCCACAAGGCAGTGGAGCATCGTAAGGAGATGCAGTCCCATGGAAGCCGGTGACTAACAATTGGCTCATACGCCATTTGTTCCCACAGGATACTGGAGCCCATGTGCACCATTGGTTTGGAATCCGGTTAAAGCGCCGGACATTCGCTTTTCGTCCTCTCATTTTCGTAAACAACACCCCCGCCACGAGAAGGCAATGAGTAGGACTTCCCTGGCAGAGGCTGTATACGCGCGGCCGTGTGAGAGTATTTCGAGAGGGAGAGCGGACTCTCCCCACTCTCGGCCGTACCAGGGCACTTGGGGGCATCGTGCTCAAATAGACTTCAGAAAGGTGTACTACTACAGAAGACCATTGTTGGTACTTTTCTTATGCTAAAATGACACGTTTCATAAATAGGATCTTTTACTTAAGCGATCCGAAGTAGTGGAATTCATCTCTCAATCTCTTATTATGGAATAATGTAAGCAAAATTTTGTGGATATATTCATCCGCAATGATGGTGTTATAAAGATATTTTTGGCTTGAATATTAATACAAGGCCACTTATTGATAGCAACCGGGAGAATGTATACCTTATAATTGTATTCGCTAACAGGGATTGGAAGCAGAAGAGATCTGAGTTAAAAAGTTTTTAAAGAGGGGATACTACTTACACAAGATAGGACTGAAGTCCCTATTGAGTGTAACACTAACAAAATTTTCATTGTGGTTCGGAAATTTCAGGGAAAAAGCTATGAGCAGATACTTAACACGATTTGTCTAGTAATTCCCAGATTTTCAGGTAATTGTCAACTCTATTCCCGAATATTATTACAACACCGATAGGATAGGTGGGTAAAAGAAAATCAGAGGTTGATATCTCTCCTGATTGACTAAGACTTCTAGTTGGTTAAACCAAGGCATAAAAACAGAAAGAATGATCAGATAGGGGAACAATTCCAAATTCCTGTTGACATATTGCTACCGAGTAATAATTGACAAGCTGTTCGAGTCGCAACTGATCAGTTGACATTGTCCGTAAATATGGGACGTGTTCTGTGTCATTACGATTGGAAGTACCTTCACAAGGCTAGTGAGAATCAATGCTAGTACTCACTCATGATGAATCGTCAGAAAGTCGAGACGTTCACTTATCTGAATCCTTGATTGTGGTGTGACAAATGAGATCAATTTGTGTTTTTAGAAAACCCAGGAGCCTTATGCCAATTTGAGCCGTTTTTGACGCCATCGTGGTGTTGGTTCAGCTGCAAACGTTCGAGCTCACAGCACATAAGCGAAAGAAGTTCAGTTTAATGTCTGCACTAAGGATGTTTGTAGACTTTTAGTCTTCGGACATGGTTATTTCTGCAGAAATGCTGACATACGTTGGCGATGCTACATCAATAATCCCGAGGTTCGTCAATTTTTCTACGAGAGTGATGATAATTCAAACGATATAATCACCTGGAAACATCGACTTTGGTGGTTTGGTTACGTTCCATCAGTGGCTTTCATAAAGGGCATTGTTTACCAAAGATAGAATTGGGTACAAGAAGATAAGAAAAACCGGTTCATGGTATAGAGTCATGGTATGAAAGATAACTGTATACCACTTGTATCTGCCAGCCCACTGTGACTTTATTTAAGGTTCCAACAGCCATGTAACTCAGTGACTTGAGATGTTAACAGGTATGGCATAGGACAGAAGTTATCGGTGATTCTGCAGCAGTTTCTGTTACAATTCATGGAATCGAGATGAGTATCATAAACTGAAAGAAATCTTTTTCAGCTACATTTCTATCAAATATTATTTCCGTTCACTTGTTTATTGATTTCACCATCATATTCTCCTACTTCCTCACATTTGCAAAACCAGCGTATATTTCCCAACTCACAAGATTAATATTTCGCAGTTTTTAAATTTTTGATTTTTATGTAATCGGCTGCGTGTCATGATAAAATACATAAATTACCATCTTCTTGACCAGGAACAACTGAGATTTTACATACCGGAATTTAGTGGGAAATGTAAAAACGTTACCTAAGGGCTTGAAGATAATTTAGTTATTCTCATCTGTCAGCAAACATAATTACTTTTAACCTATCGCAAAGCAAATTTCGTTGCATTTCAGTATGTTTGTGAAGAATCAATCCTTACCAAGTAAGACACCTGGCCATTTCACTAACTTATCAGCAACCAAAAATTAAGCATCACGGATAAAAGAGACTAAATGGTATCAACAAAATTTATTTATGTATCTCCAGGACACAACTGTTTAAGGAGTAGCTTAATGCGGTGTTTCATGACAGGCTGTCCTTTTCTTGTCAACTTCTGCATTGAGATGTTACGTTCTTTACGGTTGTGAAGACGCTCTTCTCGTTTTTTCTCTATCGCCTTTTTCCTTTCAATTTTTATCTATCAATTAAAAAACCTAAAACGATAGAACTAACGTCTTTTATTTGCTTTTGTCGAGCTATAAGCTCATGAAACTTGGCTTTTTTAGTATTTTGTCCCTTTCCTTTTTTACTATTATGCTGTGAACTGGAAAAAAATACTTAAGGAAGATGTAATTACCTTTTATGAATAGTACCCTGCTTCTCTTTGGTCTGACCTTGTTTCATTGTTCGCGGATATCCAATATCCAATTGATTTCTCTGCGCTCGCTTCTTTTTATCTCGATACAATTTCAGATATTCAGTTATGTTCAACTGGTAGTAGTCTAGCCACTCGACTACACATATACCAGTCAGTTTTCTAGTGATTTGCCGGTTTGTATATCTTGCAGCGTTTGTCTCAAGTCAGTAGGGGTTAAATGGTAATTACCATATTTCGCTCTAGATAGTTAGGTTATTGAGGTCACTTAAATCTGGGACACGCTTTCACTTGGAGCTTCAGGCTTAAAGCTGTGTGCTATTTAAAGATCATCGGCATCTAGGTATGATCTCCCAAATTTTGTGGTGTTGCATATGTCGTTTCTATACATAAGAAACAAGAGTGAACCCAATACACTCCACTAGATGACTCAACTAGTTATTGGTCTAGGTGTTGAGAGAGATTCTTTGTACTTTACTATTAGCTTACGTTCTGTTAGAAATGAAGAAAACCATGAATATAGTGGGTTGTTGATTCCGAAGGACTTTGATTTGACGAGAATCCTTTTGTGTGGGACCTTATCAAAAGCTTTCTTAAGGTCTAAGAATAGAACTAATACAAGTAGTCCGTTGTTTCGTTCTAGGGTCATATCAATCAGGTAGTCTACTGGGTATGTATCGCATGATCTAGACCTAAGAAACTCAAGCCGGGAGGTCGAGATGAGATTATTAGTAAGTAGATGTTGAAATACTGCCTCCTTAACTAATTTTTCCATCATTCTAGATACCAATGAAATTATGTTTATGGACCGGTAATTTTCAACATTTACTTCAGGTCCTGTCTCAATTTCGGGAATGATATGTGTAGTTTTCCAGGTAGTGAGGTAACACGTTGTATAAGACACAGACCATCACCTCCACTATTTAGCATGCTAGCCGGAATACCGTCTGGTTCATCCGTGTACGAATGTTTTATTGTGCTGATTACCTTAGAAATATTCTGTCCATTGGAGTTAACATTAGTAATTTCACAGGAAGGTACTGAGGAGCAAAGGTGTTCACTAAATAGTTCCGTAACAAGTTTAGGATTTTCATACACTTGTTTGTTTTTATAAGTGCGTTTACTCCTTTTGATTTAGTGCACGCAAGTTTGCTTTAGAAGAGCTTAATAAGTGCAAGGGAGTCATTATTAATTTCAATAGCATGTTTCCCCTGCGCGATTGCTTATGTGTTCGTATTGCTTCTGTCCAAACTATTATTTCTGTTATCGTAACTAAGGAGGATAGGTCATTAAGGTTAAGGAATCGAGTACAATGTCTTTGAAGATGTCCTTGCGTATAGACCGGTGTATACAGATTGTAGTGACTCACGTTTATCACGAGAACACGACTGGTTTAATAAAAACAATTATTATTATAACCAACTGTACCAGTGTTTGTTTTAACGTGCTTTTGTTTGACTGTGCTAATGACAGCTATTTTGTGCTTCCATTCCTTCACTTACACTTCGATTGTAACTTCGCGCGAATTCGGTTACGTTCTGTAACCAAGGTTGTATCCTGGCACGATCTCGGTATCCTTTCGATGCCACGAGATCGCCAGCTAATAAACCTCGACTTGGTCCATTAACTGTCTTCTGATATTCGGCTTCTCGGGGATTTTATGGAGTCATTTGGAACGAGCTTCTTACGCCTTCTGATCTATTTGGCACGTGTTTCTTGGTAGCGGTGTTCATAGTTAATCTCAACTCGACGCCACGCTACAATTGGTAATCCCAATTCGACTACAATTGGTGACCCGTATTTTGGAACACGCCTCAACTTCTGATCAAATCTTCCAAAGAAGCCAATTCGGTGAGTCTATGATTTATCTATCCACGTCTGTCGTATATTTTCATATTTTTTAATATATAATATACGCGACATGACGGATAACGATAAGAATAGTATTAATATAATAGACTCACACGTATGTGTACCGAATCCTTGTCACTTTTTATTCGCGTGATGATGAATTCCACGCTTTATTCGAGAAATGTTACCCTATTAACGATTCTCCTTGCTGACCCGGCTGCTTGGTACGGAATGCATACGCATAAGCATATCCGTCTACCACCCAGCACCAAATGGTTAAGTTGAACGGTTTCACTGCCCACTTAAAAGTGTTCTACGAGCACACGAAAACGGCAACTGGCACGAAACCTTACCGCTCGTTCTTTTAGGGATCAGAACGAGCTTAAAGGCAGATATACAATGTTCCGCCACTGAACTGGTATACGGCACGACATTGCGTCTGCCCGGAGAATTCTTCACACCACGGAGCAGACCTAATTTCGGTAAATCAGACTACGTCCATCGACTGTCTGCATTTATGCGAACGCTGTCTCCGGTGTCAACTCGAATACAACATCGACAGGTCGCTCTCCCTCGAGAGTTATCTACCTGTTCACATGTTTTTGTACGAGTAGATTCGGTACGCAAACCTTGGCAACAACCTTACGAAGGCCCTTTTCACGTGATCGCTCGTCACGAAAAGACCTACAAGGTTGATCGATATGGACGCGTCGAGATCGTCAGCATTGATCGTCTCAAACCAGCACACGTCGATGACAGTTCCCTATCTGACACCCTGAGATTCAATGCTAGACCTATCAAACCTAGCGGGATCCTTAAATCTTCTTCAGGTCCCACGCTAGATGCATCTGAGACCTCATTCTCACGTCCCGGTCAACAGCACGCGTCATCTGCACCGTCTACGGACGAGACGACAGTCTCACGTCCAGATCAGCAGACCACGCCGCCTCTGACCTCGGATGAGATTGCAGGCTCACGCGATACGAACGAGACTGCCGTCTCACGTTCCGGTCGCCGAGTACGGTTGCCCGTACGCTCCCGCGACTAGTCGCACAGTCAACAGCCGATACGGTGTAGGGTTATTCCTATGCTACATGCATGCTACACTCCTCTTTTTTTGATTTTCTTTTTGTTTCCTGAGCCCACGCCTTCGACCATCTCCGTTTGGTTCCGTCGACTTCAGTCAACTTTGGCGAAAGCTGGCCTGATCACCCATGCTCTTGTCAACGTACTCAGTCGATATATTGGTTTCGAATGCTTGGCATACGCTTGGTCTCGAACTTGGTCGTTACGGTCGCTTCTGGTCTTTTGGCTCAACGTGGTTTCGTCCTTCGTCTGCAGCGTTTATGGTCCGGACCCGTACGAACGCCCTCTTCAGATTCTGGATACAAACCACTCTCGTGTAGCATGCCAACTCAAGCAATACATACAGCACATCGCTCCTGGTACTGTTCTCCGAAAACGACCTTCGTTGGCAACTCGACGATCAACGATCGCTTTCCTGTTCGCCAATTCTTCCGTCCTACAATCGCTCGTCAGCCGATCAGTCCCACGATTCAAACCGCTATTTATCGAAAGTGTAAACCCTTTCTAGCGGGGGGCTCCTGTAGTGACTCACGTTTATCACGAGAACACGACTGGTTTAATAAAAACAATTATTATTATAACCAACTGTACCAGTGTTTGTTTTAACGTGCTTTTGTTTGACTGTGCTAATGACAGCTATTTTGTGCTTCCATTCCTTCACTTACACTTCGATTGTAACTTCGCGCGAATTCGGTTACGTTCTGTAACCAAGGTTGTATCCTGGCACGATCTCGGTATCCTTTCGATGCCACGAGATCGCCAGCTAATAAACCTCGACTTGGTCCATTAACTGTCTTCTGATATTTGGCTTCTCGGGGATTTTATGGATCTATTTGGTTACGTCCAACCCTCGCCTTCTGATTTATCTGGCACCTGTTTCCTGGTAGCGGTGTTCACAGTTAATCTCAACTCGACGCCACGCTACAAGATCTTCAGAAAACTTAGGTTTCCAGTAATCCGAAGGTGAGATTTCCTTGAAGATATTTCTGATGTTGTGATAGAATATGTTAGTTAGTATGTCGGTATTTTAAAGGAGGTTCCCCAATCAGTGCTTATTAGGTAATTTTGGAAGTTTTATCCGATAGACCTTGGCTAGTCCCTACGACGAGCTGCAGTTTTATGTCTACCTGTTGTGGTTTCTATATAAAGCTACACATGACGGTGTCATGGTACCTACCTGGAAATCTTTTACCAATATACGCAATATTGGGGTTTGGCCTTCGGTAAAGACCAAGTCAAGGATATTTTGATTTCTTGTAGGGCTACTGACATAATGACTCCACTCTTCAAGCTCTAGACATTCAAAAAATGATCCATAACTTTCCGGTGTTTTAACTGTAGACCACGAAATTGCAGGCATATTGAAGTCACCACATATAGGCTTGTCTGCGAATGGAAGGGATGACGCTAGTGTGAATACCTCTGATAATACCGCTACTTCACCCACTGATGCGTTAGGTTAACAGTAGACACAGCCGAACAGTAAGGAAATATAATTCGAAAGCTTCAAAACAATCCACACAAAATTCTTCAGTTTGTTTAGTTCAGGCATATCACATAATAGTGAGTTTAAGCTGAATTAGGCATGAATAAGGCATCCTCTTCTTCGTCATTTCAACCTATCATTTCGATATAGGAAGTATATATCAAGAGATATACTTAAGTTGGAAATATTATGGTCAGTCCATAACCCTTAGGGGTGTATTATGTGTTTAAAATGAGAACTTGGTTGCTCTTCAGTAGCTCGTTATTTTGATGCATAGAATTAGAGAAGGATATATCAAATGAACCAGTGAAATTGCTCGGAGAGTTTACCCAGGAGAAAATGGTGGGGATACTCTCTGATCAAAACTGCACGGGAGAAGCAAGTTTATGTTCCTCGTGTGGTTTGAAATGACTTGAGCTATATGCTTCAATCGATGTGCCATTAGGGACCGTATTCCAAAAACATTTGGTACAAGTTGACTGTGAAGCGTACTGTTATTTGGAACATGGTCTTTAAAGTTAAGCTCATATCTTTGGTCATAGCTGTTTGCGTTAGTGTGAACGTGAGAGCGATCTGCTACACGTAACTGGAAGTAGTTATGACTGTTATTATACAAAGGAGCTATTTATGTGTGGTGGGTTGGTGCCGAAAGATGTAGAGGGTTTTCTTTTTGAGTGTAATTACAATTGGAATCCTGGGGAACAGAGATAGTGTGTGAGGTGAGAAACCTATTATCGACATACTTATTAACGGTTCCAGGTTTCAGGGGTTGAGCGAAGTGATCGGTACTCTGATAGATTATGATAGTCGGCATGCAAAAAGGTCTGTTGCACTCAAGCCTACCAATAGTCATCTTGTAAAGCACCTTTAGGAGAACTAACTTTCAAGTTAATAGGTTTATCTAGATGTTTGTCTTTATATGGCTCACATTTAATCACTTTACTGCGCGAACAGATGGGATAGAAAATGTCGTTGTGATTTTTGTGAGAGTTGGAATCTGTATCTTATTCAAAGGTTTATGATCTGCAGACCCATCTACATCTATAGAGTGATCTGACGTTTATGGAATGACATCATGTTTATTGTTCATGTGCTTTAAACCAATTACTTACTTACTTACGCCTGTTGCTCCTAATGGAGCATAGACCGCCGACCAGCATTCTCCAACCCACTCTGTCCTCGGCCTTCTTTTCTACTTCCATCCATTCTTGTTCACTTTTCTCATGTCCACCTCCATTTCTCGGCGTAATGTGTATTTTGGTCTTCCTCTTCTCCTTTGACCTTGAAGATTCCATGTGAGGACTTGCCTTGAAACACAGATGGGTGCTTTCCTCAATGTGGATCCCATCCACTTCCAGCACTTCTTTCTGATTTCTTCCTCCGCTGGGATCTGGTTTGTTCTCTCCCACATTTGGTTGTTGTCCATAGTGTTCAGCCAACGGATCTGAAGTATTTTGCGTAGACAACTGTTAATAAACACCTGTAGTTTCTGGATGATGGCTTTCGTAGTTCTCCAGGTTTCTGCCCCATACAGTAGAACTGTCTTGACATTTGTATTGAAAATCCTGACCTTGGTGTTGGTTGACAGTTGCTTTGAGTTCCAGATGTTCTTTAGTTGTAAATATGCTGCTCTTGCCTTGCCGATCCGCGCCTTCACATCTGTATCAGATTCACAGTGTTCATCAATGATGCTGCCCAAATATGTAAAGGTTTTTACATCTTTCAAATTTTCTCAGTCAAGTGTGGTTGGATTGGTGCATGCTGTGTCGTATCGGAGAATCTTGCTTTTTCCTTTGTGTATATTGAGACCTATTGCTGCTGAGGCTGCTGTTGCAAACTGTCTCTAGCTGGTTTTTTGCTGTAACACTATCATGCAATTCTGCAACTTAACGTCTTCTAACACAACGTTGACAGGGCGTTAGGTCTGGAGTGACTTTAATGCTCTTATATGAAACTAATAAGCTAATATTTTTGTTCGAAACAGTAAATTGTTTAGCATCGTCATAACAGCTAAACTTAAGGAAGAAAGGGCATGTTGATTTATCCGACCTTTCTCTCAGGCGGATGACCTGACAGCTGACGTTCAACATTCCATATGTTTTAAGGAACGCATCCCTCAACTTATTTTAGTATGTGTGGTCATGGAGATTGTATGCAACTGTACCGTGGGACGACACTCTTTTCGTCACTTCTTCCACCAGAGACTCGGAATTACACCCAGCCTTAGTGAGTTGTTCATGATTTTTATCAGTATAAGGTCCCTTTACATAAATGAGGGGTGGCATTGATTAAGTCCACTGTTAATTTTGACAAAAGAGTTCTGTGACCGACGGATATCAGTACTATATTGATTAGTAACTTCGTACATGTGAGACAAAGTATTAGACTGTTCGGTTTTTGAAATTTCGGTTTTAGGCCTTAGCAAAACTTGCTGCTGACAGACTGTGTCGACTTTCGATGCATGTAGGCATTGTGTCTTTAGTGTTAACCAGTCTTCCCGTTGGCGTACTGAATGAAAAGATAGAAGTGTTGTTACATGAGGAACCAGGCAGTGATAGTAATATTTATGGATATGACGCACAGTGTTCAGAAGATGAAGGCTTGACATCATCATGTACAGAATAACAGACATAGATGTTACAGATTTTTGCCTTTTATTGGCATAGGAATTGGTGAGATTTCTCTTTTATTGAAGCTACTGACCATAGTTTGAAGCTGGGTGAGTAGAGAGCTCGTTCAGCACAATAGAATATCCGAGTACATAGTTATTCATAAGTAGTAACCGGGCAAATACTAGGATCAAGGACCATGGGTATATAATGTCTTCCAGATGTAGGGTGTTCAGCTATATCCTAAGAAAGTAAAAATCAACTGAATACTTATATTTCAATTAGAATATTCAGAAGATAAAAACGCGTCAATGTCAACCGCTGGAGGCTTGTGTAAGATACCTAGGAAATGGAGTCCGCGATAGGTATGTATTAACTGGTGATTTTCCTGGGGTAAAATGTACCCAGTACAATACAGCCCACAGAAGAAAAGTCGAAAAACTTCTAAACCACGTTAGAAAGTGTTATTACTTTCAAATTAGATACTGGAATTTCAGTAGCTCTCGCAAGTCGCCCATGAAACCACATTCTGAAGGGGTTGCATCCTGTTTGTTGAGATTAACGTATGGAGCGACGACGTCTCCAGCCAGTATTATTACAAGCTCACTTATTCATGTATGATGTTTGGAGATGACCATGTTTCGGCGAAGACTATGATCTGAAGGTCTAACTGAAAGCACATATTTCTGATTTCAACTGGTTTACTCCATAGTCCTCTTAGGTTGCTAGAGAAGCGCTGGACGATTTGTCCTGTTGCATGGTGCTGCTCTACTGCAGCATGTCATCTGCTCTTTAAGTAGATTACTGTTTCAGGTGTGCCGGCCAGTTCCGTACGAATTACCGCCGTAGGTTTTGGCCTGTATCGCGTGTTCCATTTTCGAGTCCACGTTATCTATTTTCTGAGCAGTGGGTTGTTGACCATTACCATCTAACTTCATTGAGCTTTTTTACTGTTACCTGACTGATTTAGATCGACTTTCACAACATTTGATGTGGCTGAAGACGTCAATTTTTCAGCCATACCAGGCCTGAATGATCTCATTTAGGTCCTCGCGTTTCTGTAATTCACAGCCGTCCTCTCTTGACTAACTTGCTTATTGCGAGAAAGGATTGGACAGCAGCCCTAGATAACAGTCTGTCTGTCGATGTGATATTCATAGATTTTAGCAAAGCATTTGACAAGGTTTCACACGCAGGTCTTATGCAGAAGCTCACGAGCTTCAGAATAATAGGTACTGTAAATGAGTGGATAGGAAATTTCTTATGTGACCGCAGACAGATAGTGGGGGTCAGCAAAACGCTATCCGAATGGAAGCCGGTTAAAAATGTTGTACCCCAAGGCACCATCTTAGGCCCTCTGTTCTTCCTTCTCTACGTTAATGAGTTACTGCTGCTGCTTAGGTCGTCGACATTATTGTTTGTGGATGATGTAAAAATCTGGAGAACAATAAAAAGGGCGGCTGATCACCTGGATCATCAAGTTGACTTAGACGATTTAGTTAGATGGGCCCGAGAGTGGGGCTTAGAAATCAATGCTAGGAAGAGTGTGCTAATGCACATCGGTCACGGTAATAGTTACCGCCATACTATTGAGGGTAAACCTCTTCCATGCGTTCAAGAGTATTAAAACTTGGGAATAGTAATAAGTCATGATTTAAAAACAAAAAAACGCCTTACAAAACAGCCGCTGTCAAAGGTTTTCGTGCGTTATGGTCACTTCGCCGAGCGTCCAAATCTTTTGACGAGGAAACGTTTCGAATTTTATATCCCATATATGTAGGACCACATTTAGAGTACTGTATCCAAGCAGCTAGCCCGTGTCTGGTAAAGGATACTAACTCCCTTGACCGTGTCCGGCGTGTGGGAACGAAATTAGTGAAGGGTCTTTCTAGACTCCCTCACGATAAGCGTTTAAGATGACAATCTTTTCTCCTTGTCGTATCGTAGGACACGAGGTGACCTTATACTGGCATTTCGTATCTTTAATTATGATTTGGGTGTTAATATGTCTTATATTTTTGCTCCCTCCAGCACTAATAATCTCCGAGGTCATAGCAAGAAGGTTCATAAACCATGACCTAATAAACCTAAAGTGGGGTCCCGTTTTTCTCATCGAGTAATCAATCATTGGAACGCCTTACCCGAACAAGTGGTATCAGCCCTATAAGTGAATAATTTCAAGGAGAAGCTGGACCTTCACTGGAAAGCAATGTGTCAGGATTAATACAGGTTCATCAACCTACTATCCTTATTACTGAAGACTGAAGACACGGACATTTGATGTTCATTAAGTGTAACGGACAGGGTAGTCTGGACACGCTTATTATTGTAGTAATGTGAAGGCCTGCGCTGGGTGATAGGCAACGAATTCCTTGAGATAAATGTACTGATAAAAAGGCACTTTCTCTTGTAAATAAAGTTCATTTTGTTTACAAAATATCTGTGAATACTTCGTGTTCACTGATAAGGCGTTTCTGAATAACAGCTATCAAGTTGATGATTTATTATTTACTAAGATGGAAGATGATCGAGTCGAATTTCTTTCTACACTAATTATGGTCATCTGAAACTCATCGGTACACTATTGAACGTTATACCGATGTACATTTGTTTGACTTTACCAGCGAGCTATGAAGGTCTGCAATCAGCTGTTACTGTTATAACCATTTGAGTATTAAGATGCCTTTCCTCAGTCCAGACTGGAGATGTCCTGGAGATCAGTGGCTAAAGACAAACGAAAGTGGCAGCATGTGGGAAAATGCCAAAATTTATCGGCTCAGAATGTTTGAAACCATTAATGAGAATGTTGTAAAGCGGTTTGTAGTTTATTTTTTAATTATTCGTGATGTTAGACTGTGTCGGCAAACATTAGAAGATGAAATGAAGTCAACACCGTATGTTAGTGAATACCTTAAGGCCGTTTTTTACCAACCATACATACACCTTCAAGCAGGGACTACTCGTGAGGTTTGTTACGATAACCACCCATAAAGTGACTGTAGATCGCTACAACAACAACTATTAGTGAGGCTCTCCTAAAGCTCGATACCAAAGCTGCTTTAAGAGACATAAGAAGATTCGATTATATATGCAAAGTATTTTTCTCATCGTTTTCATGTTTTAGATAATTGAACTTCTTATTTCAGAGCACTTTCACAGGTTAGCCGGAAGGTTACAGCTCTTCCTAATTGAACTTCTAAAAGAGGTGCTCAAACAAGGTTCTTGTGTTGTCTAATACTTATATAATTTAGTTCAAGCTAGTTGCAACCAGACAGAACGTTTTCGAAAGCTTTTGGATGCATTAAGAGAAAATCTAGATAAAAATGAATATGATCATATTGGAAGTGCCTTACTTTGGCAGAATCATAAAAAAGCCCTAGATGAGATGTACATTCGTATCGATGAATTTGATATTGAAAAAGTAGGCTTCTCTGCTTTGTATGAGTTTCGAAGTATCTATGTAATATACTTAGCCTCACGTTTTCTGTTGTTTTTCTTTCGTATAAGATCACTTAATATAATAAGCTAACATAATATTACTAGATAAAACTCCCAACGTACTAGACTATGACATAATCTTCTAGCTTCTCTTGAAACATGATCAACGTCTACTTGTGATACACATATCCATTCACTCTATGAAATCAGTTCATATGCTTTGGAAGATAGTCTCATTTTCTGCCTGCATTAATAAGCCAAAACATTCTGTTAAAATCACTTCCTTGGAAATGAGCCATCTAAATTCAACGTTTCAAATAGTTATTGTTTCTTTATAGGAAATTTGCAGTTAGACTATTTTTCTGTATATATTTCCTATAAAACCTCAAGTCTAACAGCTCATTGCTGAGAATTCTATATTGCACCAAAATATAATATTGAATAAAGCCATTAATAATAATAATAAATGTTCTTCTAAGTGAGAATCATCCCTACATTTAGTCTCTCAAAAACCATCTAGGCTCAGAAGTCTACTTGCTGCTCAACTCTATTAGAATTTAAGGTAAGAAGAACACAGCTTAATGTTTGTCCAGACTAAATTCCTTTTGATATATCTGAAAATTCCAATTCATACATCAATGAGAAAGCAATACTTTGTTGCAGCTGTTTGTCAGTGCTTTCAGTAATATAAATAGTCATGTATTTATCTACATTGTGTAAATGTTTAGTTCGATCTTCTAATAGGCATAAATAGAATAAACATTTTGATAAACTAATTTACGGTTTATTGTAACTCAGATGTTGCCGTTGCGTTAGTGTCAGTTATCTTTTAAGAAGAATTTTTACTGGAGATATAAGATAGAGAGCTATGTAAATAATGTGTATATAAAACCTAATTGTCCGGTCAATAACCGTTGTCTTGATGTGTTGGTAAGATTTCATTATTTTTTACGACTTATTCGAACTCGCAGCAAAGAGATTTTTACTTGAGATCCAACAATACTCTTTCTTGGATCTGTCGTTCTCTCTAAGGTGAAAAAAACCATACCTATAAAAGCTTCCTCCTAAGCTACAGATCTCCGTCATCTTGCCAACAAATTGTATGTCTAATGTAAAGCAATAAAAATTGGATTATCAGATGTCATTGAAGAAGAATTCTAAATCTATATTAGTGAGTATTGGAGTATCAACTACCACATTCTATATTAACTGTCCAGCAGTTCTGTCCTTTTGACTTCAGAAAGATGGAGTATAAATATCACTAACTGGTTTGAGTCCCGCAAATAACTAAAGCTTCTAGAGCTTTAAAATAGTAAAACGTTGTCAATGAAAGCAGTACAAACAAAGCGTTGTGTAATTTGTTTTCAAGTAAACAAATAGCGAAATATGACGTCATTATCTTGTTGCTACATTTTTCCGGTTATTCTTTGTTTTTGGGGGTTGTAAAATGGTTAATTATTTCTTATTGTTTGGATTCGTCATCCTGACCAATTGACTTATTTCTGTCAGTAATTGAAATAAGCGCATAGATAATTGTTAATTTTCGTATTTGTAGAGGAGTTCCGTAAGTATTATTCAGTTGACGTTTGCTGGTTGTGGTTTTTTATGGGGAGGCCCATCAACTTGTAGCAATTTTGTTCTTAATCTTGTTTATATCATAACATTCATCTTACTGTCTTAATTTTAAATTTTACCTTTGCCTCAAAGAAAATTCAATCATTTACAACCTGTCCGCCTTACAAGCTCAGGTCCTTGAGTGTACGTGAAAACTCTTCAGAAGAAGTCATAAAACTTGAAAGACTTCCATCTGAATGTTTGACTCATGTCCTGACCTATATAAACTCTCCTCAGGATCTTGAAACGGCGTCTTTGGCTTCAAGTGCACTAGCCAGTGTAGTTGCAGATAAATACTTCTGGAAAACTTTAACACTAGCACACTTTGATATAAGTCAGATACCAACCGTTAATTATGGTCTCCCTGGATGGCATACTCGATCTCCAGCATCAATTGATGATTGTGATTGGAAACGAGCCTATGTCAGATTGCTCAAAATATACGGAGACAATCATATTTATCCAGCTAAGCTAGCTGTCTGCGAAGTTTGCTTCTGTTTGTTTTGGCCGGTGAGTCACATACCTAATTATATATATATATATATATATATATATATATATATATATATATATATATATATATATATATATATACCTTTTCAATGTTTATTGGTACTCCAACTGCCTAATCACTGATTCTGAAAAACAACACAACCTATTTCGCTAGTTTTATTTACCTATTTTTACTTGATCACATGCATCCGTGTATATTAGGGGGACGAAAATGGCCCACATAAATGAAAAGTATGGTAGTTCAATCAATAAACAAGTGAACAAAAATAATACTTGGTAGATATATAGCTGAAGATTTTTTCAGTTTATGAAACTCATATCAATTTTATGAGGTTTAACAAAGAACTGCCGCAGAATCACCGATAACTTCAGTCCTGAACCATACCTGATAACATCGCAAGCCACTGAGTTACATGGCTGTTGGGACCCTAAATAAGGAATCACAGTGGACTGGCAGGTACAAGTGGTATACAGTTATCTTCCATACCATGATGCCATGCCATAAACTGGCCTTACCTCCCTTTTCTTCACCATTATTCAATACCTTCACGATATATTCAGTCGAGTGATAAGTAATGATGTCTATTGCATCAACTAAGTCTCCACAATTGTGACGGATTTATGGCAATAAATATCCTTTCTCAGAGACAGCAAGTTTAGCTATCATTCCAAATTTCACGAAACTGGAAATATATTCTTATTCGTGAAAAGATTCATACTTTAGGAATCTATTGATCTCTTTTGTTCAAAAGTTAAATATGGTCGTTAGAAAATTGTCATCACATGTAATGCCTAATTACGTATAGGTAAATAAAGAAACGGAATCTTAGTCCTAATATTATTTAGCAAATATTTAAATTATATTGTGAATTTTTAGTTAGTAAGATCGTAAAATTAACTCATTGTAGAATAAGTTATTAAGGAGGTAGATACTTACATATAATCTCCAGGACAACTGTGAAACACGATTCTTTTTAATGTTTAACTACTCCCAAGCAACAAAAAACATATAGGTATACCACCCAAACTAAACTTAAGATCTCGAAAGTGCAAAACATTTTTTTCGTTGGTTTCAAATATGTTGCATAAAATCCTTTGACTCAATTACTAGTGATTAGTATGAGCTTAATAACAATAGTTACCAGTTTTTCTTTGAGTGAACAAAATATGCTCTATTCATGTACAATATTGTACCGAATCAATTTGTTAGAGGTTTGTAAAATAGTATGTGTTTATTTTACAGCTTTGTCACAATAATCAGTGTATTTTAGGTTTTTCTTTTTCTCTAAAAAGTTTTATAAACAGAGGTTTTGCTTATAACGTCTAGGTAGGGCGTTTTTAATGAATAATTTATTTCTCAATAATCTTTCCTAAAAAATAAACCATTTTATTTTATTTTTTTAAATTCACTTGCATTGTACGTTTGAATTTGTACTGATGAACTATATTTTGACTATGTCATTAAAACAACTGAAAATTCTGTTTCTATTGCAATAAATAATATTTTCAAATTACATTCTAATACATATATTGAAGATAGTTCTTAATTAGATGTCATTATTTGAATAACAGTTTATCCTCCTATCCGCAGAAATAACTTGCAGCAATTTGGAAGACTCTCCCGGTCTCCCACATTGTATGAACATTCCATGTACCTAAATAAATGGTTGCTCTGGTTGTCAGAAGAGGCACCGGGCTCATGACTTTCGAAGGAACTCGGCTTTCGTCATGAGATGTCATAACTCTTCTAAATGAAGACTTTCTGACTTCCAGGGCAGAGTTTAAAAGGTTTGAATAATTTTTTCTGGTTGGCGTTTTTTTAGCGCGTTGGTTTTCTACGGTATGGGGTCGCTAACCCCATGCCCAACCCTCCTCCTTTATCCGGGCTCGGGGCCGGCAGTAGCCCCCAGAGGGACTCCAGGCGGAGTTGCAGAAATAACTTGGGAATGTGTTTATTGACTGAATACTATTTAGACATTTGTGCACCTATCATACATAAGTTAACTTATAATAGATTATTGATTTCCTTAATTATTAAGTAATATTAGGATGAATGTAAAACATAGGTTTTTTATTTGATTTCAAAAGTCCCTTAAAGGATATATAATCTAAAAGTAACATTTATTCAGTATATTCTAGTTTTTCTTTGATTCATAAAGAAAAAAAAATATATTTTCAATTGAATTAACATATCAGCTTGAACAACATTCCAAAATGTGTACACAAAGTTTTCTTCATATTTAATAATCACCGGATATTTTATTAGAAAGAAGTTCTATCTTTCATCTTGATTACACAAATTCTTATGACTTTATGTCTTAGAGGTTACTCGTGATTTAATCTTCACTCGGATATAACAAAAATCATACATTTTTTTAAGAAAAAAAATAGTAATTTTAATCTTTTGAATTATTATAGATATTTGGACATCCTTGCCATTATCCTGATAAAGAACAACGTATCCGTCTTCTTACTCCAAATGAATTTATTACGCTCTTCCAAATCTAATAGTATAATTCATACATGAAAACATTTGAGTGCCTTCAGTTTATTTACTTCAGTCATAAATCTTTTTTTTATAACAATAATCTAGTTTTCCATTTGTTTGTTTGTTTTTTTAAAAAAAGAGGAACAATAGTCTGTATTTATTCTCATTTTCATCTCATAACAAAAGAAGAAAAAAGAAAACATGCATTTACTCATTATTATGTGCAATTCCTTCTTTTCAAATGACTAGCATTCATTGTTGTTTGTTTATTTATTTATTTATTTATTTATTTATTTATTTATTTGATCTCAAACAAACTTTCAAAAGAACTCATAACTTCTATTTATAATCTTATGAAACTATGATCATTTTCTAGTTATTGTTCTTTATATTATCTTTGTTTGTTTTTATGAATCCGTTCTAATTTTATTTCCGGTTTATTTGGGACTTGGTAGCCCTTCTCTTTTTTTTCTTAAAAAAAAGAAAAAAACTCATTTAACAAATTATATATTTCCATATAAGCTTAAGCATGTCAATACATATGTGATTCACCTATTATTTACATCAAACTGTGATCGGCCAAAAAAAAAACAATAACAAAGAAATACTGTAAAGAGACTTTATTTTTGGCGCCAGTTTACTACTGAATTCTGTTTCTATTTCCCTATTGATTTATTTGTTTATTTATTCAACTTATTTTTTCTTCTGTTTCTGTTGTTGCAAGATTTATTTTTTGTTTTGTTTTTATCATATCAGAAAGTGGAAAAGGCTTGTTTTTAAATCCTATTTATCATTTTCCATAAAGACATACATAAATATTTATTTGTTGTTTCATTTAACAAAGCATTCATATAATAAATATACATGTTCATACATTTACTGTCTTAATTATTTATTGATAATGTTATATCTTAAAGGCTGATTTCTTGATATACCGCATATACCAAAACCCTTCCAAGTCGCAGTAAGAAGACAGAAGACTAACGAAAGGAATATTATTCCAAAGTGTCAATTATAGTACAAAATTGTCAGGTATTTATAGTTTTTAGTAAGAACGAAATCATCATTACAGTCCACCAATCCGCGTACATGGGATTATTAGTATTGACCAATCAGGGGGCTACACGTTGAATTCTAGAATATTCTTCTGAAAGGTGATTGGATGGAATATCTTTGGCTCCTTCTGAGCCTCCTACAGCTTCCCCGAGCTCACCCGTGGTCCGTCGTCACAGATAAGTTGTACTTCACGTCCAAAATTAATGTTATCAGTTCACATAACATAATCTGTATGTGTACCTAAGTAGATTTTCTCATGTCAGAGACAGGGAGTTGGTAATGTTTGGTAACTATTTTACTGTAGGGTATCTATCTCATCTAGTGGAACTTTAAGTTCGACAGTTATTAGGGTACATTTTTCTAGTGTTTACTATTTTAATATGACTGATAAAATAAATGACAATGTCACTACTTTTCACATAGCTATGATATTCGTTGTACAATATAGTTATAGCCAATAGATCTCGTTTTCAACATTAAAACTGACATAGTTCTTTTATTCAACGTTTTCTTTAAAAAAGGGAGATAAATCGCCTAATCAGATAACTTTTGAACGAGCGGTACATCAATATTTAAATGCTGCACAATGGTTCATCGATTCACGTTGTTGTGTAGTGTACTTATGACAGTATGTAGCACTAATCTAAAGTGGAATGCATGCCGGAAGAAGATTGATAAGATTCAATTGAAGAGAACAGAATGGGAAACAGAAAGTAATTGTAATAACAACAGAATTGAAAGAATCATGTAAGGGACAACTGATGGAAGATATGCAAATTATGTATTTAATGCATGGTTTTCATATTTTGCGAAATCACTCTGTAATTTCGTATTAAACAATAAATTGGTCTTCCCCATCTGAGTATTCGTTCACTACAGTTGTATGAGATTATGAAAAGATAAAAATCTTAACTAATCTAGAAATGTAGTCAGTGGAACAAGAAGGATGTAAGTAAGTACACAGTAAAGTGAACCACATCTACACCGATGAACAAAGACTTACTACATAACTAGGTCAAATTGTAAATAAAAATCATAAACATCAAAATAATTTCCATAAATAATACATTTATGGAATGAAACTTGAATGAAATTGCAATTCTCTGTCGTATACATCCTATTGAAATACAATGCATCTAGACTATTCCATTCAAAAAAAATCATAGATGTATTCATTACCAGAAGACGATTGAACAGTATATCGAATACACTCATTGGTTTTTTTTTTTCAATATCCAATGTAAAATTCACATCATAAAAGTACATACCATTTATCAAGATTTAACTAATAATCACGTGTAAGACACCAATACATATGAATCCAGGTAATGAAAACAAAAAATGTCATGTGATTAAGGAAATAATTGTCTGCATAAACAATAAATTTGTACGTGTTATAGATTATTCAGTTAACGGAAACGAACAGAAAAACATTACAGCCCTTTAACCTCAAATGCTAAGATCTTGTTTTTTAAAAGTAGTAGTGTTAAGACTACATGTAGTGTTTTAGTTGGTATGTAGTAAAGTTTAAAACATATAAAAGAGCCACTATTCAAATAGTGATAAATTTGAACCAATTATATTTAATATCTCTCTTCGATTTTCATGTGTCCCACTCTTCCACATAAACAACAGAAAGATGATATCCAAAATATAATTGAAAGAAATCAATCATTTGGTAATATTGATGTAGTTCTTATTGAGTTTTAATAAATAAGTGACTGACTGATTTACCCAACAAGTAAGTAAGACTGTTTAAACTATCTAGTATCGAAACTCAAAATGAAATAGTTAATAGTTTGGCAAATTAATTTTTTATTAGAACAGTTTTATCGTTATGAATTTCCGGTGAGAATCTAATTTAGGGACGACCTTTGAACGAATCTTAAATGACCTTCGCAATTATTAGCCAATTTAAGGACAGTTAGTATAAAGTGAAAATACATTATAAGAAAGTAATGAATTACAGTGGATATTCTTCTTTTACATGATTAAAAACCCTAACCCTATGGACGAGTTTCTATACCGTATGCATTATGGATTCAGAACTTCTGAGTCTTTATCAAACCTTAACAAGTTTTTTAATCATGTAAAAGAAGAATATCCACTGTAATTCATTACTTTCTTGTAATATATTTTTACTTTATACTGTCTTCTGATTGGCTAATAATTGAAATAGCTCAAACGCTTCTCATTGGCTCGTCCCTAAATTAGAGTCTCGCCGTCCCATCTATTGTAACCTCTCATTAATCACCTCCTCTCTAAAATCCGCTGTGAACCGATCGTATATTAGCATCGCGTGTTGAACTTGGCTCCGTGACCTTGAAACTGCTCAAACGCTTCTGACTGGCTCGTCCCTAAATTAGAGTCTCTCCGAATTTTCTCCAAAATGTTAAGCATATTATAAGCAAATATGGGCGATGGTAAGCAGTGGAATTCAGGGTGCACATTTCGTCCTATTTGAGACTCATCAGCTGAATGCACTTGTATCCCAGAATTGTTATTCACTCCGGGACATATTGTGTGTTTCTAGTCACCCAATCTTATTTTATACAATTAAACTAAAGATGAAAGTCATCGTACAATGGTCATCTGAAGAAAAGTAATTTAAATTGAACAGAATAATGATCGTTTTAAATAGTTTGCCAAAAAAATTATTTACCCGCTAAATAAGAATCATATAATCAGTAAAATAGAGATTATAAACAGTAAGTTTTATGCATTTTATATTAGTGTTGCTTATCATTTATTATACCCTAAGTAATTGACATTTCATCATACCTTTCTGTTAGACTCATATATCGTTTTTTTCTATTTTTTTAAAATTTTTATGACATTAATTACATTCCTTTGACATAATATTTCATGGTCTTATTGTTTTAGTAACAAAAGTATGCAAAAATGTCATTATTGCATCAAACTTCTTCTTTATTGATTCAATCAAATTGTAATATTGACATTGAATATTTAACGTTAATACAGACCCCTTTATTGTTGTTGTTGTTGATTCATATTTTAATATAAATCAGGGAAATGTATTAAACCAGTATGTTTCGGTTGTAATTGAAATCTGAATTCATAATTGTTTTTGTCTCATATTACCTTAGAAAGTATAATTTATCATGTGAGTAGAATGTGACTAATTGAAAGAAATACAATATTGTTAAATGATTTCTGACAATTGTTTGAATTACTAATAGTTGAATATTTCTTTCATCAAAATCAAAACTATATAGAATTTTTTTTTAATTATGAAAACAATGACAACTGTATAGAAATTAAAGTGATCTAGCGAACTGAACTCTATAAATTAAACTAGGTAATCTGACGTATGATTGGTATGGTGTCATAATATAAAACCCTTCATCGAAATGGTCACTATTTTCAATTTTGTATATTCATTAAATAATGAGTAAATGAGTGAATGTTTAGGTGAATAAACAATGGTATGAACTAGTTAATAAATCCAGTAATAAACAATTTATTGCCTGTAAACATCACGAATCAATAATAAGCATGATTACTATCTTTAGTATCCGATGTCTCATTGAGTTACATGAATAGTAGAAGACCGTTCCTGGCATGTGCCTAAAACGTTTTAACGGTCTAATCAGTAGCCAACAGAATGAGAAGAGGTGAGAGTAGTCTATCTTCTATGATATCGATTTTTACTCAAAATGGACCTGTAAACGTCCTCCATAAGCTTCTTTGAGATTCACTTCCATATGATAGCTGAAACTGATTAAATAAACAATAATCTAAACTTCAAAACATGGTTTTTCAGAATATTTTAAATTAACATTTCAAGGCTTATAATCACATAAGAGACAATTATTGTTATATCGTAAGAAAGTTCAAACCGTGTGCCCCTTTCTCCAACACATTGTACATTATAAAAACGTTCTGAAATATTTTTGTACGCTTTCAAGATTATACGTCACTTGAATAGCACAATTTAAATCATATATTACTTTACTTCGTTAGTATAAGCAAAATATTCTGTAGCTAGTAATAGGTTATTACACACAGTAACGATATATACGACTGACACTCTAGTTACTGAATTAAATCTGCTGCCTGTCTTAGGAGATAGGCTATCAACCAGGAATTTCTAACAAAATCTACCATAATTTCTCATTTCCAGTTGTTCTCAATTGCTGTTCAGCCTTCGGATGTCTACCTCCAGTTCCATGGCCAATATGTATGAGATTTATGTATGAGGATTACAAGTTAGGGCTTCCATTGTGATGAAGTTTAATTGTTTCTGTAAACTGTGTTCTGTCCACCTCCACAATCGTTTTCTAATTCGCTCCTCATGAAGTAGCTGTTCCATTTTCTACCAGAATTGATCATTGCTGGTCTCTTGAGAATGGATATGGAGTATATTACATAGACAGCTGTTTATAAATACATGTGGATTTTAGGTGTTGGTACTGGGAGTTATCTCAGGTTCAGTTGTGTGCAGTAGAACTGTCTTAATGGTTGTGTTAAAAATTATGACTTTAGTGTTGGTTGATAGTTGTTTTTTTCTTCGGTTGTAGGAATGTTGGCAGCGTTTTGTTAATTCGTCTCTTGACACTAGCATGAGGTCCTTCTTGTTTACCAGTGGTAGCGTCGACTTATGTGAATGCTTCCAACTATTATTGACCTCCGCTACTAAGTGTGATTTGATTGACGCTCGCTTCGTTATGCCTCAGGATCTTGATCTTATCCTTGTGAATGCTGAGACCTTTCTCTGTAGAAGCCACCGTCACACTAGCTCTCTTTGTCTGCACGTGTTGTTTTGTATGCAACGAAAGTGTTAACTCATCTGCAAAGTCCAA